TTAAATATAAAAAAGAAATACAAAAGTATTAAATAGGTGTTTTAATAGATTCAAATAAATTTCACATATTATGTCAATATTTAGCATAATTTATGGCAAAGCTGATAAAATATGACATGATTGACGATTGTTATCTGAGATACGACTGTTTTGTGTTCGTTCGAACATTATAGTTACGGAACACTTAGTTTAAAAATATTTATTTTTCCGGGCGGAATTTACAATTGCTCGAGTATAGTCTTATAAAAGAGATATTTATATAATTTTAAAAATTTGTTTTTTATTGTAATATTGAACACAAGCTTTTTTGAATATTTATTTAATATTATAATAAAAGTAAAATACTAAAATTTCATAAATTATAAATTATAATTAAACAACAATAATAATAAAATGTAAATATTATATTATTATTTATTATAGTAAATTTTATGAGTATAAAATATAATAAGAATTTTTTTGTTTTGTACAAAGTTATAAAATTAGGAAAATTTAATATTTTTCATATTATATACAGCACTAATAAATTAATATTTATCAAAGATTATACATTTATAATTTAATATATATAAATTCCAGTTTGAGTAAATCGCATGACCTATTATGCCAATGAAAGAGCTGAATAAATGAAATTATCATTTAATAGTATGAAATGTATTATTATCACATATTTTCCAACTCTTTTTATCAATAAATGTATTACTAATTAATTTTATATTATTGGTTAGAGTTTAAAAAATAATACATATTTAGGGAGTCCGTGGTATTAACGTAGTCCATGGTAACGTTTATTAGTAAATATAAATATATAATGCTAGCTGGTATTAAAATAGTGTATACATTTATTTATCAACCGATTCTATAGCGACTAATATCACCACATCGATAAATAAATATAATAATTGTAATTATTATAAATGAGTAAAGTAAGTCAAGTATACACAACATTAATAAAAATATTAAGACTAAAGAATTTTTTGATGTACCTAATAGATTAGTGGATTATTATTCATTGTGTAATTTTACTATGTTATTAATTTTTTTATTTTCTTAATTTCACTTTTTCTTCAACTCATTATTTAATTTTACCTTTCTAAATTTACCAACTGAAAAAATACACATAAAATAAATAAATACATACATAAACTGTATATAATGTATGCTTGAAGAACTCGCATAAGTCGTAGTCGTATTTAGAATTCAAAAAAAATATACAATATACTGCTGTAATATTATATTAAGTAATTATTTTCTAAGTAGAAAAAGATTTTAGTTTAAGAACTATTCTATTTGGCTTCTTGGAATTGTAATAAAATAAGTTGTGCGGATACTGTGCCTTAAGTATATTTTTCCTAATAAAATAATAAAATTGAAATTAAAAATTATCAAATTGTTAATACTCGTAAATTAATATATAAATAAATAAACAAATAGTTTATACATATAAATAAACAAATAAATGTTTAGCCTGGAGTATTATTATATTTGTAAAATAGAGTCGCGATTTTATTGACTTTGCATATACCTTACGATGCATTTTTACTCGAAACTAGTCGTATTTTATAATTATAATAATATTTCAGGCTAAATATTTATTTATTTATTTATTTATATATTATATTTTTCCTGTTAATAAACCGAGAAAGTAAGAGCTTAGAGGGGTTCGTGATGACTGATAATTTTTTGTGATATATTTTTAAAGACAAGTTGACATTAGTTTCGATCAAGTCGTCAATCCCATACATTTCGTCCCCCTTCCCCCACATAATATAATAAAATATTACTCAACGCCGCGCCATCAGTTCTGTTGCAACACAAATTTTTATTAAAAACGATTGTAGATTTACAACCATGATTTTTACCACATTATTTCTTCAGTTGCAACTGTTTACAAAATATTAACGTAATTATCGTTCTTACCATATTTTACTAGAATGTAGGATTTTGTACATACATTTTTCGGTGTCCGTATGAAAGTGCATCACTATTGTTCACTATGATAACTTGTGTGGTAAAAGTGTGTACTGTCCTGAACCAAAAATATGGATATTATTTCCTGCGTCCTTTACAACTCCACAAAGTTGTGACATGGAAATATATATGATTTTTATTACTACAGGTTACAGTTATAATATTAGACTGTAGTTGCCTATTAATTTCGTCACCGCTCTAAAAATCAAGATAGAAACATATTTTGATTACTAAAAATGATATAAGCATCGAAAAATTATAAAGATTCAATGTCCCCGTTCATATATATAAATATAGACATTTTTTTCTTGTGATCAAATGTTATGAAAACGTACCAACCGAATAATATTGAGTGTTAATTACACCGATTTTAGTTTTGTACTATTAATATTTTATAAAACTAAAAACGTGTTTCAAAATATGTCAAATATAGAAATAGACTAACTAATTACAGTAATACATTTTTAAGGTACCAAATTAAAATGTGAGTAATATTACAGACACATCATCACCTTGAATATTTCACAATATCTATGATTTATGTAGAAACGTAACTATCGTATTGTGATTTATTTAATTATAAATACCTAAGTAGCAATACTATCAATATCACATAAACTATTATTGAGTATTAAATTGTTGTGAATTTCAAAAAACTTAAACAAATGATTTATGAAAGGTTTAATTATTAAAAAATAATTTACCATCCTACTATTATAAGTAAGCAATACAATGTTTATGACCTTTTGCTGATATAATATGACTTCATTTGTAATATCTGATCAAGGACAATTATTATATACGTCTATCTCGAGGTTTCTAATTTTTCTAAGAATTTGAAAAATGCTATAGCAACTAGACCAGAGGTTCTCAAACTTTTTTTCTCCGTAAACCACGTGCCAATTTTTTTCATTTTCGTAGACCCCTAAAATTAAATGCTTACAAACTCATCTAAATGTTTTTCATAACTTACACAAAACTGCTCACCTGAATAGACTTTCTTATGGAATGCATTTTTTTTTTAATAAAAACGTGTTATTTTTAATAACACCTTCATTTTTTTAATAAGGAAAATATTAAAATCAATTTTTTAGTAATTAAAGCGATAAAAAATGCAAATTAAATATAATAACAAAGAAAAAAAATCAAGGTTGGTGTTAAAATAATTTATCTTTAATGAGAAGGATGATGCTTTAATAGTAAATTTTCAATATTTGGCTTCAAATTAGTCAGGTTTAACCTCAAATCTCCTCTATCAGTAATTTCCAATCTATTTCTTTTTTTTTTTTTGTAAGAAGATTGAAAACTGTGCTGAAACCTTTTTCCACGCAGTATGATGACGGAAAATCAAACAAAAACTTTCTTACGATTCTCCATAAAGTAGGAAAAGTAACAGGTGTATCTCTCTGAAGTCAGAACTGCTGATACCCATTTCTAAATTGTACCTTAAGTTCATTGTTAGTACTTATTCCGATCAGTTCTTCTTGTAAGTTCTTCTAGCACACATATTTTTCATAAAAATTACAACACACAATTTTGACGTATAATTCTCGTGAACCCCTATTTACACATGATGCGCCCCCAATTTTTTTTTTCGTTGACATAGACCCCTTACAGGTCTGAATCGACCCCAGGAGGTCGATATAAACCACTTTGGGAACCTGTGAGCTAGACTTTAAGATAGGACATTAAACTTTTATTGGACATTGGAATATTTTTTTTTTATGATCAAAATAAATTATTTTTTCATAAAATAAAATATTTGTTCCTATTATGTAAATAATTATTTATCCAAAACTATTGACTAACATTCTTCAAATTATTTAAACTATGTTGATTGTATTATGGATAACTATAAGCTGGTTGTCAGCATTTATTTTAGAAATGTAAATTACATTGTACACATGGTAAATACTAATTATGGGAACAATCGAGTGATGTCAACAATCGAGAGGTTAGTAATTCTAGAGGTTAATAAGGACGATGAGGTAGAACAGCGGTTCTCAACCTGTGGTACGCGTACCACTAGTGGTACGCGGAGAGCTCATAGGTGGTACGTGAAGTAAATCTTCCTTTATAAAAAAATTGGTACGAATTATTATTAACATTAAATATTATTTGGTTTATTTAAGGTTTATTTGATCGCGTGGAGGTCGTGTGTAATCGTAGTAATTAAGATAACGATATTCTCTTTAATATCATATAAATCGATAAACTTTATCGAATAAGCCCGACAAGGCGTATTTTTATTTCACAATAATGTGTTTTTACCTTAGTTTCGTGAGTTTCTTCGGTTACTAGTAACTTACAGCAACTTAGTAACTTACAATTTGGATTCGTTGTAAAATTTGGTTCTGAAAATTCTACTCCGTTACTTCAATGTGTAATTTATCAAGAAACACTTTCAAATCAAAGCATGAAGCCATCGCTACTTAAGCGCCACCAATTATCGAAGCATCCAGAAACAGAAAATAAACCTATTGAATTTTTTCAGAGAAAAGTTACTACTTTCTGAAAGGAATCGAAATGCATGTCTAGTTTTACGAACTTTAATGAAAATATCGTTAAAGCATCTTATTAAGCGAGTTTAATTATTGTTAAAGATGGAAAATCACACACAATTGGAGAAACACTAGTGTTGCCAGCAGCGAAAGAAATCGTGCGATGTGTTCTTGGAGACAAGGCTGCAAAAGAGATAGAAAAAGTGTCACTTTCAAACGATACTGTCAAAAGATGAATTGATGACATGTCGTCAAATATAAATTATTGCTTTATTTGAAAGATTGTAATTTCTTTACTATACAAATTGATGGGAGTACTTATATTGCTAACATAGCTCAAGTGTGGTATTCATAGTATTTATACGTTTTGATCGCAATGATGAAATTATTGAAGAGTTTTTGTTTTGTAAGCCTTTACAAACCCACACAACATCTGAAATTATTTTTACAACCATTAATGAATATTTGATTGAAATAAATCTGCCGTGGAGTAAATGTCTGGGTTTTTGTTCTGATGGAGCAAGGGCAATGACTGGAAGGCTGAGCGGAGTTGCAACAAGAATAAAAAAAGTTGCCCCATTATGTAAAACTATGCATTGTATGATTCACCGGCAAGCATTAATATCTAAAAACATGCCTAGAAGTTTAAAATTAGTTCTTGATAGTGCTGTAAAAACCGTAAATCTAATCAAAGCCAGACCTATCAATTCAAGACTATTCACAGTATTATGTAACGAAATGGGCAGTACTCATAAATCCCTTCTTCTCCACACAGAGGTAAGGTGGCTTTCACGAGGAAAAGTCCTCACCAGGCTATTCGAGCTTAGGTCAGAAATTTTATTACTTCTGACTGATATTGATGAAGAAAAGTCCAAATTGTTTTGTGATGACGAATGGCTGTCAAGACTAGCTTACATAGCTGATATATTTGACCGTTTAATATTTGAAATTTAAGTCTGCAAGGATCAAACACAAACATGTTTTATGCTAGTGATAAAATTAATGCATTTGTGAGAAAGTTGGATTTATTTATTTTGCAAGTATCTAAGAATGATTTTTCAGCATTCGAGACACTAAACACATTTTGGAAAAATAACGAAATTCAGCCTAATTCAAATATAATTACAGACATTTCGGAACACCTACAATTACTAAAATCCAATATTTTACAATATTTTCCAGAGGATAATTCAGAAATGAAATGGACCATAAACCCTTTCGAAGATGATTATATTAAAAACATTCCGGATGGTATTTTGGCAAAAGAATTATTTATTGACTTAATCAGTGATTCTACCCTAAAAACCGCTTTCAAAACCAAAAATATCACTAATTTTTGGCTGGACGTGAAACAAGAATACTCGGCATTGTCCACACAAGCTTTACAGCTGTAAAATAAATTATTCTCCATTAATAAATAAGTGTTCCTATATATTTTGTTGATCAATTAAATTGAAAATCCTTAAACCACAAAATATAATGATAATTATATTTTCCAGAATGAACTGACATGCAAAATGAACCATTGGCATACATATTTAGTTATTCTAACACACTTCTGCAATTTGTTAAGGTTATTAAGTTGTTAAGTTTCAGAAATTATTGACTTTAGGGTGTCAAAACTTCCCCCGAAAATCCTTGTGAATTAGGAATTATCATTTGACAAACATTTTATAGTATCACAACAATATGGGTGGGCTATGTATAAAAAGGGAAAATAAGATTCATACGTAAGAAATAGGTAATTTTAATATTATCACAATTTTAGAATTAAAATTATATTCTTCCCAGTGGCGGCTCGTAGATTTTTAATGAAGTAGAGCACATCCGAAAAAATTATAAAAAATATTATATATACAACGTTAAAAGTTTTTTGTTTTTTGTTTTTTTTTTTACGTCGGTGGTCGTTAGTAAATAGAAACACGATTGTTGTTTTAAATTTAAGATAATGACTAACATTATTAGTCGATAATCAGACTATAATAAACAAATGAGGGTAAAAATAAATCATAATGCAGATACCGACGCGGCGATGTCGAAAATAATTCGCTGAAAACATTTTAATTGGTATGTGCACAGAAATGAATATGCACATCAATTCCATTATAATGCGTGTTGTGTGTTTTGACTTGTTTTAATTTTTACATTGTACAAATGTGCACAGCAATAGTGTGCACTACTGCACCGCTATAACACACACACCGATACTGTTCTGTCGCGGACAACCGCCTGCTCGTGTGGCCTTTGGAATAACCCAATCTAAATATTATATTATTTTCATACTATTCTGAATTTAAATTTTGAAAAATAATCTTAATAACACTACAGGTATTTAGTTGTATTATTATGATTTATGTTTTCAAATTTTTTTGGAGTTTGGGTAGGTGCAAGAGCACATGAGCCGCCACTGATCCTTTCGTAAAAATGAATTAGCAGATAAAATAATTTTTTAAGATTCCATAATAATAATTTAATTCCATAATTTGAAAATTATAGTATTGGAAATAATTTGAATAAAATTAAATATGTTAAATAATTTTGAAATTCTAGGGCCACTTGGAAAGGCTACGTGAAGTTGGCCCACCCTTTTGTTTTTTAATTATAATTCGCAAACGGCTTACTCGCAAATTCTCGCAAATAAAGACGCATCGTTTAGTATCAATTTTGAAATTCTGGGCGACTTGGGTGGGCTAACTTCACGGTAGTAAAATGGAATTTGCGGGTAAGGGGTGAACTCGCAAATTTTGAAAATGGACTCGCAAATTCTCGCAAATAAAAACGCATCGTTTGTTATCGGTTTTGAAGTTCTAGGGCGACTTGGAGGAGCTACGTGAAGTTGGCCCACCCTTCTGTTTTTTAATTATAACTTGCAAACGGCTTACTCGCAAATTTTGAAAATGAACTCGCAAATTCTCGCAAATAACTCGCAAAATATTGGTATAGGTTTCAAGTTAATCCGTGAAAAAGGGTGGGCCAACTTCACGTACGTGTGGTTGTGAGCAACCGAGCAACCGAGCACTTTTTACTTGATTACTTCAACTGATATCGAATTCTGTTACCGAGAAAATCACTCGGAACTAAACGAGTGTTTGAGTAATCAAGCATTTTTCACATGATTATTTCAATTGATTTCGATGCCGAGAGAATCACTTAATTATTTCCAAAACAGTCGAGAACAATCGATCACATCGAACAATCAAGTACCTATTTCGAGTGTTTTCTCTTGATTGTTCCCATCACTAGTAAATACTCGTATATATGGTACATGAGTAGTACTATATAAAAAAGTATTGGGTACATTTTTTTAATTACTACCGTTCTTTTAATAACACATTTATGTCTAGTTAAAAACATGTTAACAATAAAAATTACATTTGCGTAAAGACAATTATTTATTTTGTATTTTTTTTAATAACATTATTTTAAATAAATACTGTTTGTATTACTAAATAATTATTTACTATCATGTAGTATAATAATAATTATAAATTTTTATTTTTCATGTATAATAAAAATCATATACATTTATGAATTCATGATAAGGGAATTCATAATGTGAATTTGCATATTATTTTCCTTAAGTCCAAATTAATTGGCTTTCAGTATGTACACGATTTTGCCTATAGAGGAATAAATATAACTATTTATATTTTTTTTTTTGCTTATTTCTGAATATTTTATATAAAATTCATATTTATATATTTTTGAGATCTTGTTAATTTTGTTAATTTTAAATTTTAAGTTGATATAATATTGCTAATTTTAAATGTTATTTATTTAATGAACTTTTATTTTTCAAATCGTCGTAAATATACTACAGATATTATAATCTTATCTTGATCGAATTACCAATATAATTATTCACATATTATTTAACGACGTACATATTAGAAGTCTACCCGGACCAAAAATGTTAGGCTCGACCCGGTACGGATTTTCTGCGCTGACGTATAAGGCCCGTTTCACAGCTGGGCGTATCGTTCGCGACGTTTTCGATTTACAATATTTAGGTTTATACGTGCCGAACTAACACGGACGCGTATAAACTTAAACAATGTAAGTTAAAAAATGCCACGTATGACGTTTGGTTGTGAAATGGGTCTAAAGCCTTTAAGATATTTTTCAAAGCTCGGTTCGATTCTAATGAATGTTTTATCACTAAAATTACATTTTTATACAATTTTTTTTACATTCTGAAAAAACTCGGTCCGGATCTTAATAGATTTAAACATTTTAAAAGCCTGACTCGGCCTGGATTTAAATTATAAGAGCCTGGCCCATGCAGTTATCTAGTGCTTATATTGTGAGGCAGTACAGAAGTTTTTCATTTCGTTAGTATATTGGTCTAAATTAATTAGAATTATATTAGTATAAACTAATAATTAATGTAATAATAACAAGTTGTGATAAATAATAATTATAAAAATAATAAAAAAATTTTTTTGCATATTTTTGCATATTATACAATTTTTTATTGCACTATTCATGAATTATGAATATTATGAATGTTATTTTTTGCTGTCTTAAGTTTATAAGTCGTATATTTTGAAATTAATTTACAACACATCAAAACTTAAATTTAACGTTATTGGGTGGATTTGTTTTTACGTATTATGCTATACCTATTTTAAATAAATACAATTTAAATTATACTATCGTGTATTTATATTTTTTTTCTTTTCACAGTAAAAATACACAAATAAAACCAAGGAACAACAATAATATTTTTATATGATATTATTAATTAAAAAATTAAAAAAATTTTATTTATAGGCCATTTTATTTTATTTTTTATTTTAAATTTATAGTTAATGCAATTAAATACAGTATTATTTGTTGATTATTCACTGTCCAGCAGTTGTTTTTTGATATCTAAGATGGGAATTAGAGTCAACTTCACCGTTAAATATTTGCATTTATAACATTATATTCGATATAAATAATCGAAAATTCTTACTTCTCATTTCTGCGTTTTGGACAAAAAATGTAACATATATTTATAATGAATAAGATTAGAACTAAATTATGTAATTAAGTAACACCCAAATGCTTTTTAGCTATGTGGAATTAATACTACCAACTTTACCATAGTTAAAAATAAACTGTAACTATTATAACAACTACTACAATATAATATAGTATTTATATCTTTAATGTGTCTTGTAATTTAAAAAAATAAAAATAATTAATTAGTTTAATAAAGTGATTATAATTATTATAGATACAAACAATAATAAATTATTTCCGAAGAAAATAACAATCAAATAAGTTATACATAAAAAAAATTAAATCATAGATGACTATAATTCTTATTGTGAGTATATTTTTCATGCAATGGCCACAATCGCATATGGGCTGGTACTGTTTGTCTCAAGGTAAAAAATACCTCTCGCTCTGGAAAGTAACGATATTTTAAATACATATTCAAAAAATATAACTGTTACATTATACCAATTATTATACCAATAAAACTCATATACTTATGAATAATATATTTCAAATTCTCATTAAACACATTTTAAGTTGGAACTTAATAATTACTATATGATGGACATTATTAAAATATTGTTTCTCGATGTATGTGTACTGTATAATACAAATATTGGTAGATGTCATATTTTAATTGTTTAATTATTATTATGAGTCATTAAGATAAATTACAAGTATCAAACATAAATTAATTATAATATGAAGCCTATGAGTAAAACAATTAAGAAATAAGTAAATAAATAAATAATAACCTAGTATCAATACTATTATTATAATCTACCCCTGCTGCATATCAATTTAATTTACGTATTATGTATGTTCGATGCGTATGACCAGTGGTGTAGATACAATTTTTTTTCTGGGGGGGGGGGGGGGTGATTAAGAGTAAGTTTTTAAGTGTTCTTAATATATCTTAAAACAAGGTCATATGTAATAATATTACATTCAAAATGGTATTATTATTATGTCCCGTATTTAATGAAAATTATTTTGTTACTCATTTTTTAATATATACCTAATCATAGTAAAATCAAAATATTTTACTATAATATGTAAATATTAATAAATAATAATCAAATATCATAAAAAAAATCTGTGGGGGGGGTGGAAACCCCTTACAGGCTTACACCCTCCCCGTAACTACGCAACTGCGTATGACATACGTACGAATTAATTTCACATGTTTTCTAAAAAAGTATTTATCCGTGAATAAAATTGTGTTTCAACAAAGTGTTTCCTTTCAGTAGTAAAACTGAACGTTATTTATAATATTATTAAGTAAAAATAATAATATTTATATTGAAACTATTTTCGCAAAGGCTTTAAGAAACTTAGATTTTATTAAACGTAACTATGCCAACATAAGTTACGCACATCATAGAGCCCTCTAATTATCATTGATACGTTTTTATTTTGGGAAATTGGTTCATTAGGTTGGAACCCTTAACAAATCCTCTTAATTGATACAATTTAAATTAAATTTATTAGAATAATAAACGAATGTTAGCTACCTATTTGCTAATATTGAGTTGATGTGTAGAATATCCGTTCCAATTAATTGGTGGAATTATAACAATTGTTTATTTTATAAAAATTATTAACCGGATCTATTAATTGCCTTGGGCTTTTACATGATATTTACCAATAAACTCAAGAAAAAATATCCTATTTTATAATGCACTTAGCAATTGTAATTTTGTTTTACACAGCTTTATCAATATGATTTTAAGTCATAACAATGTAAATCTATCTAATTTCAATTTTTTTTTTTTTTTTTTGGATAATATTTATCAGTTAAAACAATTGTTAAATTTTTTTTTTTTTTTTTTTTTAATAAAAAATATTACAAACAAATTATTATCTTTATAACTCTCGAATGCATCATTGATTTTTAACCACATTTTTTTTAAATAAAATAATATTTTAAACTTAAAACTTATTTTACTCGAATCAATGAATTTATAATTTTAATAAACAATTTTCATCTAGTTTACAAATGTATACATGGCGAGGAATGTGTTCTTCGTTTACAACGTTATTCGGAGACAGTAGTGCACAACAATGTTTATTTTTCTATTTGCATTTTCAATATAAAAGGGGTACAACGCAGTTCCTACTTTTTTTTTATTTTTTTATTTTTTATTTAAATCGTTAATTTATTTAATTTTCTAAGAATAACTAATCCTATTTACTAACTTTTATTTTACCAATTTATTATTTTTAAGGTATTTGAAATATTTATAAAAATATTTGTGCAACTTTATAACTAGACCTATTTACGAATATAAATTAAATAATACTATTTATAAATTATTTTGTAAATTATATTCTGCAATAATTCACAATCAATTATAATATAATATAATATTATTATGTACAAACCAAAGTCTTACTTGGGATCTGCATCGTGTCCCATAGGACTTTTGGTATTATTTTTACATTTTCCACTTAAATACTCATCCCACGAAGAACACTTCACAGCTATAAGTGAGTTTCTGTGGTACAGGGAGTCGGTATACAATTCATGTGCTCTCGAATGACTGCAGCCTACTGTAAAAAAAGATCCAACAAACGATTGAATAAGTATAATTGTACAATAGAGTACGTATAAATTTAACCAATTGATGAATGCTGAAACTGCAAAAAAAAGTACCCTATTATGATTTTATAAATATGTTTATATCGTACAATCGTTATGCAAAAAAATATCTTAAAATTGAAATAACTTGACATGTAATTTACTCTGCTTTGGGGTTCATACTTTATTAAATAATATGTTACCAAATTTATATTTTTTTCCTTATCCTTATCGAATATTTTTAATTATATTGATATTACAAGTCATTAAAGTATATATTATATTTATATTGGTACTAACTTAGTTTTACCCACGCACTCGGCATGTACGAATCTAGACATCCTGGTTGAGGTGGTTTGCCTTCGTTAGGGTAAAAGTCTGCATGCCCTATGGCTTTCGAATATCCGGCTGTTCCTATCGCTGTATGTATCACATCCACAAATTCCGCATCACTACTATCCAAACTATCTGATCGCAAAGACACGTACTCGAATCCTGGACCAGCCGGGTCTAAACCTGTATTATTATGGCACATAATAATAATTTTTAGAAGAAATTATGTAGTATATAAATATTCAAATAATGGTTACCTATACATCCAATCGAATATTAGGTTTACAGTTCGTAAGACCCACCTGTAACCCTGCCGATTTTCCCCAAACTGAAGGCAGCACCACAAGCTCCAGAAACGTGTGCACCAAGACTGTGACCAATAACGTGTATATCGGATGGTTCAATCAATGCAAGGTTTACGACATTTTCCAACACCTTGGCAATCACTGAACCTACTTGAGTAGTCAAGTAAGCTGGCATTGGGTACAGTACGTTACTCGCTACCCGATTCCAATCTACAGTGATGACGTTACAATTTTCGGTAGCGACATATGCTGAATATTAAAAACAGTAAAAATATATTACTCTACTATCCAAATAATATATATGAGTCGGCTGAATACAAGGGCGGATAACTGATAATTATATATATAGGTAAATTTTTCTTTTACATTTGAAATAAATATACTATTAGTTTCAAAAAAAAAATTCTGAGCAATAAATAATGAGTATATCAGCTTTTTTAGGTCTATATACATTAATGAATGTCTGAAATATCCGATCTGGTCAAAATTTTCCAACGCTTATACATGTTATTAATTATTTTTCATTAAACATTTTTTTGTTGACTACAAACAACAATAGTATTTTTTCTAAATTGTAAGATTTTGAGTTTACAAAAAGTTTTTTTGATTCTAGTCAAATTAATAAAACTATATTGTTGAAATACCTGTTTTTATTGCAAACACTCCTTTATCGTCTTCGTCCGACCCGAGCCACCCGTGCGTAATGACTTTTAAAGGTTTACCATGAAGCCAATATTCCTTTATTTGCATTTCATTACCAAACTCAATTACTACAGGATGATTATTTCCAAGTTTTCTACAACATATAGAACTAAAAGTATGAATAAAAATTGAAGAATGCTTTTGTATAATTATAAATTATAAAAAAGAGGACATGTTTAAAAATCAGGAGTCAATACAGTTTAGAAGAAACGAAATATAATGTTTAATTGATGTAAATTATAGGATATATTATAGAACCTTATATAGTACCTATTATACAGATAGCATACATGTAGTTAACATATATATTTTAGTGATTTCATAATCTATAACAGAATAATATTTAAAATTTATTAAATAAATAGGCTATTCCTATTATAGCTATTTACAATAATTTAAACATTTATTTCTAGACATTTAGAAGAATTAATTTTTACATTTGTGCATAAGCACGAGTATGAAAAATTTGAATAAAACCTAAAATACGTATAATAATATCCTTCACGTAGTGAAAAATCCAAAATAAAATTGAAGATTATTGAAAAAATAGTTTTAATGAATTTCCTATAAGTTGGGTACACAACATATGGTATTTATTTGCGTCAAAAATGATAACTATCCTAAAAATTAGTATGAAGCGTACATATACAGTCAACTCGCGATATAACAAAGCTCGAAACAAGAAAAATCTCAATGTAACGAATAAAATTGTCATTCCCTAGAAAATCTCGTGATATAACGAACAATTAAATGTATTTTCGTCTTATCGTTATAACAAAGTTTTTTAGGTCCAAATTAACGAATTCTAACAATTTTTGAGCTTGATACTATTCTTCGGAGTCCTCTGTAATCACAAAGTAAGTAAAATCAGGTCTTCATATCGTCTTAAACTATCTATAGAGACATAAGATCGACGACAATATGTTTTATAACATTTTAAATTTGGACAACGCTATTGACCGATAAAGCGTAATCGGCTTCACACAAAAAAAAAATTACTGATTTAAAAAAAATAAATATCTATACGTAATTAAATAATGACTCATGCGTGTGTGTATTAATTTTAACTAACTAACATGTATCTAACTTAGTATAGGTACATATATGTATATACCGTGTGTTCACCAATTTAGGGAACACTGAATTTTTCAGCCGGATTATGTTGGAATAAATCGAATTTTATTTTACAAGCTAGTGGTATATAAATACACATTTTCAGATAAATTTCAAATTTTTAACCCTCTCAGTATGCACATTTGCAATGCAACTTATTTTTTTTAATAGCAAACGGTAATTTTTATATCAATTTCGTATAGAATGAATTTTTTTAAGTCATTTTGACCAGTTAACCATGGCTCTATAACCAAAATTGACCGAATGTGAACCATTTAAATTTTAATAAATAATACATTTTTACAATTCATTATAAAATGCATAAAACCATTTATAATTATTTATTATTGATTACATTTTGAATATTTTTACGTATTTTTTTTTTTTTTTTTTATACATTTTATAAACAAGATTAACTTAATATGGATATAAAATTATTTAATTAAAATTGATTAAATCTATTATTTTATAACTACACAATTAATTAAATAAATTATTAAAAGTTTGCTCCTTGATTATCGATACATAATTGAAAACGTTGAAGACATTCTCTATTAGTTGCTGACATTATTTGACTTGCAGTAAGGTTATTACACACAACCAATATTTTATTTTTTAAATCTGCTAGGTTAACTGGTGGATTGTGGGTTGGCGATTAAAATCTCAATCATTTCATATTTTATAAAATAACAGTTGTAATCAATTTTAACTAAATAATTTTATATCCATATTATGTTAATTTTGTTTATGTAATCAATTTTAACTAAATAATTTTATATCCTTATTATGTTAATTTTGTTTATAAAATGTTAAAAAAAATTACGTAAAAATATTCAAAAAGTAACCAATAATAAATAATTATAAATGGTTTTATGCATTTTATAATGAATTGTAAAAATGTATTATTTATTAAAATTTAAATGGTTTTCATTCAGTTAATTTTGGTTTTAGAGCCATGGTAAATTAGTCAAAATGACTTAAAAAAAATCATTCTATCCGAATTTGGTATCAAAAATACCGGTTGCTATTAAAAAAAAAAATAAGTTGCATTGCGCATGCGCGTACCGAGAGGGTTAAAAATTTGAAATTTATATGAAAATGTGTATTTATATACTACTAGCTTGTAAAAAAAATTCGATTTATTCCAACATATTCGGCTGAAAAATGCAGTGTTCCCTAAATTGGTGAACACACGGTATATATATATATATTTACATGTAAGTATATAAATATGAATTATTTAATGAAAATGAATACGTATTTGTAGTATATTGATTAACATATTGAGTTTTATTTTAAATTTCGTTAAAACGAATTTTTTTAGTTTATGCTCTTGATGTAACGAACTTTACCGAATTTTTTCCTCTGGCCCCTTGAAATTTGTTATATCGTGAGTTGACTGTATTTATATAATTATAACGTATTATAATCGGGTAAGTAACGGTACATACGAGTTCCAATAGATCAAATCCAAGCTGGTTCCATCAACAGACATCGGCGACCTTCTGTGTTCGTCTGATTCGTCATCATTTTCTTCGTCAACGTCCTGCTGAGGTTGTGCTGTGTCCGTGGAGCTATCGTGGTCGATGACCTGCTGAAGTTGTATCGTATCAGTGGAAGTGTTGTCGACCACGTCCTGGTGAAGTTGTATGGAATCAGTGGCGCCGTTTTTAAGTGCACTGTTCTTCACAAACTGTCGCCAAATGGATTTCAATAGAAAAGCTAAAGAGCGAACAAACTATCTTACACTTGCAACTGATATTTGATAAAATCTAAAAATTAAATCGATTATAAAATTTGAATCAACATACTAAGATGAAGTAACAATACATAGAAATATTTATTAACGTTTAATTTCAAACGATGATAATAGCTAGAAATGAACAGGTTCCTACGTTTTGCGAGTAACATTTGAACAGAACTACACTCTGCAAAAATATTGTCAGCCACTCAAATGCTAATAATCTTATTAACACCCACATTAATATTTTGTGCATAAATATTTTCAATATTTTCGTGTTTTTTATCGAGATGGATTAACCAGTTAAGCCTTAGTAAATCAATGTATTTTTTAATATAAATATGTATATTTTAAGTATTACTTCAAACAAAAATAATATTACATGTATGTACGAACCATCGATTGTCTTTATCGTGAACACGAACAACAGCAATATCAAAGGTAAAACGATTTTATCTGAACCAAAGATTTTCATCTCGAAAATGGTATTAATACCTACTATGTTTACACATATAACTGCAATAGTACAAGTGTACAACGGCAAACAAATATCAGACCCGATAGTGAGTCCCGATGGTTGGCGACAGTCGATTGGATAACACAGTGATAGTTGTGTACCCGCAAAGTTGACTTTTACTTCGGTGTTTATTTATCTAATGCACTTTAATGGTCGTTTACGAACTTGACGATTACATTTTTCGATCGGCATTTTAGGGGAAAGAAGACCAAACCGAATGTATGTCGGCATACATTTAAACACATTTGAATTTCCGCAGTAGTAATTAGACCACAATGATAGTTTAGTAACCGAGACCAATCAAATGTTATCATTGTCCGAATGTTCGGCCACTTGTTGACTTATCGCGTGCATAGGGAACCAACGTATGGTGTAGATATAGGTAGGCAGGCAGGTAGCTGCGCTTAATTTGTAAGGTGTGTGTTTGCTTTAATTTTTTAATTGCCGTTAATATATTATTGACTGCAATTACGTGCAAATGTAAATTTACACCTCTCAAGGTGGCTAATGGGTCTACATAACATGATTATCATTTTATTTGATTTGAACACCAACGCACCGTGTCCCCTAAGTCAATGGTTAACTGCAGCGATGTGTGAAATAAGTATATTAGGCAGAATTTTTGAACGAGAAAGTCTCGTATAAGGTAATGATAGTTGCATGAACAGTCTTTGCCTGTGTTACATAAAAATAAATGAAAAACTTAGGTACTAAATATTAAATTAAAAATGTTTTCACCACACAACTTTTTAATAAAATACTCTATCAAACATTTTTTTTATTTGAAAAATATACATCTAAACTAAAATGTACCCGGTAATAACATTGAATAAAATGTATAATTCTTATCGATTACGGAGCCAGAGTCCAGACGAGCATTAGGAACGGGGCGCAATAAATATTTATTTATAACCAAATTCATGAACATTTTTGTTTTTTCATTTTTAACAATGCGAACACCTTATATATTATTTAAATCTCTTTACCAATATTATATTGATGAGAACTTTTTAAGTACATAAGATTTTTTTAGAACCACGAAAAATGTTTTTTTTTATTATTATTGGCTAATTATAATATAATAGAGATCAAAAGAAAAATGTATACATATAATTGTATTGTAAATATGTAAAAATTAACAAAGGATAAATGCCTTTATCCTTTTTATGTAAAAATTAAGTAACCGCAATTTAAACATTGCGGTTTAAGTTTTATACTCCAATGCATAGGCGGATATCAGTGGGGGGGGCTTAGACCCCCCCAAATATTTTAATAGCCCTCCCAAAATCGAAACTTTGTTAGAAATGTTATTCGTTGTTTTTATAATTTATTTATAATTATCTGTTAATTTTTTTGAAAATCGTAAAATAAGAAATAATAAAAACTATTTACAATAGCATTAGCAATACCAATTATCTACATAGTTTGGCTACTCGCGAAAAAAGTTTCAGTGCAATGAAAAAATAAAAACTTGGCTAAGGACATTGTTGGTTCAAGATAGGTTCAGCAATCTTTCAATACTATATATTAAAAAAGATATATAGAAAAATATAAAAAGCGATAATATTTTGAGTATCTTTGCTAATACAAATAATTATTTGTCATTAAAATAAAATATTAATTATTTTTAAATATACATTATTTAGTGTTTTTTTAATATAATTTAAACATATCTATATTTTTAATGGTAATAAGTTTACTTGTGTATGGAAAAGGGATGTGGGGACGAAGCCTCTGCGGGTTATTTTACATTGAATTATTATAGCCCCCCCAAAAATTCAACCAAATGTCCACCTATACTCCAATGACCACATGAATACGGGTATGGTCAAATTACATTTATTTTTGTCGAATTGCACTCGGGCTCAAAAAAAATATTTCAACAAAAATATTATATATTTGAAGGAGTTTAACGTTTAGAAAACAGTAATTTCCTTGTCTATTTGTATTCTTAGGACTGAAAATGATTTTTAATCATTGGCATAGTTAAAAATGAATTTTTTTATTCATATCAATGTTAATGTAATATATAACATTTTTAAAATCTTGAAATTAATAAATTAAATAATATATAATATAATTAATTAAATCTTCAAATATTATTAATGTCATTATTCTTCTTCTTTGATGTTTGTTGACCATTAAGACCATCCCGTCACACATCCAATTCTTCAATCTTCCTTACCTAAAACACGTACTTTTCAATCTGGTCCTCCCCGTCTTTTTTTTATCTCATCTTCCCATCTCAATCGAGATCTTACCAGTGGTCTTTTACCAACTGGGTTCTCGTCCATGGTCATCCTTACATATTATGGTGTTCTGGCTTCGTCTAGGGTGTTTGGCCCAATGAAGTCTTTGGTTTTTAGTTGTGTTTACTGTGTTTACTTTTTAATAGACTTTCCACTTAATTATTTTTTCTTACTTCACTCTCCCGTTTCTCTGTCTTTCACTAGTTTAATAATCTATTATTAATATCATTATTATAATTTCTTTTCAACTCATTTCAATCATTATTTGTAGTCATAACAAACTGAATTAGAAAAACTTCAACCTGGAAATTTCTGATTTTGATTTTGATCCGATAATTTTGTTTTTTCGTTTTTAAACATATAAGTTAATATATTCTTCAATATCATATGAACCATCAAAACGAATATAACCAGTACCTAATGCGTACAAAAATATTTAGACCTAGGATTTTCCCCAGGGGCACCATTTGAGGAGGGTGTATTGTACCTTGTTACACCTATTTTATCTGTCTTATTGACTTGGCTTAACATTTACAATTGCATCGATGGGCGATTGCCTGTTTTTAAAAATTATAATGTTTTTTTTTTTTTTAACTTTAAACTTGCGTATGGATCATAAATGTATAATATATTATTATGTATGGAGGTAATACATATTATGATTATTTATTATTTATAAGTGTGTATTATTGGTATAATCAAAGCTATTTCCAACTTTACGGGTAGTGTTTTTTTCGTTGGCAGGTATTGTTATTCTTTTTTTAATCATGAATATTAAAATTAAAAATAAGAGAAACGATGGAGTTGTTCATATACGCGATAAAAACGAAAAAAAAATGTTGAAACATCATCCAAATGCTACAATGCAGAACAAATATTTTCCAAAAAAAAATAGTTAACAGTTATAGTAAGTATATTTTTGAATATCACTAAAATAGTCTGTTTCTGTATGGTAATTACAAACAGTTGTATTGGCTTTTACTTTTTAGTGAACTTCGATTGAAGGTTTGTAGTTCAAAATTCGAAGTGTTTGCTGATTTGAGAAATGTGCACTACTTAGTAAAATATAAATGACACATTTAGGTAAAATCAAATTCATCTGTTTGACTTATAACCAGGGCTCGTAAGTTCATGTATTTGCATATCAATCTTGCAAAGTACTCGCATTTAATACTAGATGACATAGAAATCCATTTCAAGGTACCACGGTTAAATATGTGTAATCTTATTTTGCATGTTTTTGCATATTTGGCATGTTTTTGTATATTTGGCATATTTATGCATATTTCAATTTTATGAGACATATTATACAAAATTCTATTAAAATCTATCAAAAATGGAAAATATAAATAAAATTAAAAATAGGAATTTTATTATCTTTTATTTTCTTATATTTTTAATACTCGTACATTTAATGAATAAATTAGTTTCAAAATTTTCAGATTTAAAATGAATTACTGACAAAGACGTATATTATACGCAGTTCATGAAGGCTCAAGAATACTATAAAAAAGTATTTAAAATCTATTTTTTTTAAATGTGACATAAAAAAATAAATAGATAGTTTATGTTATTTCAAAAATTATTTATGATTTTTTTAAATAAGCTTTTTTTTAAGTGCATCGTTTTAGATATTTAATGCATATTTTTTAACTTCTTAAGGCATTTTTCAAAACATATTTTGCCAATTTTAAGTGCATAAATGCATGCTTATTTAAGCATTTTTTGAGGCATGAACTTACGAGCTCTGCTTATAACAATATTGGTATGCATAGGTATTGAGTGTTCATCTATATAAAAAAAGAAGCAAGTTAGCAAAAAAGACAGTTGAGTGCCAAGAAAAAAATTGTTAGTTAATAATTTTAATTCATTAAATTATTGTATAATAAATTATACTCCCATATATTAAATAACCCTTCAGCATTTCAAACCCACTTATATAAAAAAAATATAAATAAAATGTATATATAAAACATATATGTAAATAATATTGTGAAGAAAATGGCATGATGATGAAAAAAATTTGGCTTGCATAAATGCGGTGCATCACGATTGCGCAAATTTTCCTTTTTTGACTCGACTAATTACATCACGATTGAACAAAAAAATTGAACTACGATTCCGCTCCAATCCTTTTTTACCTGATAAAATCATAACACCATTGCGTACCATATCCTATGTATAATTTACAATAAAATAATGTATACAATACATACTTTCTACATATAATTTTCATATACATGCACTAAAACTTCTTACCTATTAATTCACAATTTTCCATCCCAATTATTACAGGCTTAGGACTATCAACAAATTATCATCGTTGCCTTGGTTAAAAATTGTTTTTTTTCTAAATTACATGTATGCTAAATGTATATACTGACATGGTCAATAATCGAAATTTTTTAATTAATTCACAATTTTTCTTCTCAACTATTACAAGCTTGGGACTGTCAATAAATTACTATCGTTGGCTTGGTTAACAATTGTAAGCCTCATATCATTATATGTTTGAGTTGATTTTAACTATGTGTATATACTATGTAGGTGTGTATAATAATTTTATAAATCAATAATAATTTTCCTGATATATAATATAGTATATTATAAATTATATTAAAGTCAATACTCAATATTATTTGTTTGTCGGTATTATATACATATACAAAATTAAAAGAGTAAGTATTGGTATTAATTTTTATTTTTATAAATTATCTGATTGTCTACTTGGTGTAAAGCAATAAACTATGGTTGGCAGTGGTGTAGCCAAGGGGGGGGGGCTAAGGGGGCTATAGCCTCCCCCGTGGGCCGTGTTTATATGTATAATGTATCTTGACTATTTAATAGAATCAATGCTCGTTTTAATCAAAGGCTTATTGATGTTATGCCACTTGAAGGACTTATTCCGGCCAATTTAAATATGTATGACGATAAAAATATTATAAAAGCTGCTAAAATATATTCTTAATATCTTCAATATCATCATATCGGCATTGGATGTTGGTATTTATGTTCATTCACAATTTAAATCGCGTATAGAGTGAACGTTTGTAGGTTCAAAGTGTGTACGTTATTTAAAATGGATTTGAAAATTCAAAAAAAATTCCAAACAGAAAAAGGCAAGCTGTGCATTTTAGTCGATGAACATAAGTACAGAGAATTCAATGTACTGAAAAAATGTGGTGGTATCCGATATCGTTGTACTAATAAAAATTGTTCTGCTAGTGTGCTTGTTAATAACGATGTTACATTAATTATTAGTTTGCTTAATGATCATAATCATAATGTAATTGCTGATAATATAGTTGGTAGGCAAATTATCAATTCCCGTATCAAAAAGAAATGCGAAAATGATTTAGTAACAAAGCCGATAAAATAATATAAGCTGTACTTCAAAACGAAGAAAATTATATCGGACTCATGCATTCTGATTTGAGGCTATGGAGAATTTTCATCATAAAAGTATGCCTAAAATTCCAAAAAGTTTTGAAGAATCAAAAGTTCAAATATTTATTTGGAAGCAATGGGACCACGTTCTTGTGCTAGTCACCAAATGTAATTTTTAAAAACAGTTACATATTAGAAAATATATTATATTACGATACAATTATTTAATTATTATTACTTTTTATATGAACAAAAAGATTATTTAGTTATTATTATTTTTATATGAATAAAAAAAAATATCTACTAATGACTATCAGAATAGAAAAAAACAATTTTTAACCAAGCCAACGATGATAATTTGTTGACAGTCCAAAGCCTGTAATAATTAGGATGGAAAATTGTGAATTAATTGGTAAGAAGTTTTAGTGCATGTATATGAAAATTATATGTAGGAAGTATGTATTATATACATTATTTCAGTGGCGTCATTTCAATTTTTTTTTTTTAATATGCATGGCGTATAGAGCAGGCCACTAAGCTTATCTAAAATTTTCAACACAACAAAAATAATAATATTCTTACCATTTATTAATGACAATATAATAATATTGGTATTTACTAAATCATTTAACTAAGCAGTAAAAATACTAAAAGCAGTAAAACCAGAGGTGATAATAAATATTGTAATAAAGCGTTTATTAAATACAGTTACAGTTATATAGTTATATATTTTGTTAGTATTTAAGTGGATACCGATGCATCTTCATGCTTGAAAACTTATTTATCTATGTTTTGTCTACAAAAATATAACAATTTAACCATGTAATTGTTCGCAATAAAAATTAATTTTTCTATGGTAATAACTCATTATTATTTCATAACTAAAATATCACTTTCAACAATCATAATTAAACTAGATAGGTATAGTACTTAGATTTTAAATTGAGAAAGGATTAGGAGATTGAGCAAGAGAAAGTTTAATCGCAGGATAGATTAAATCTATTCAATCTACATAAGATTTTATATCTATTCTATGATTTTATTCTTATATAAAAAAAAATGTCTTTCTGATATACGGAAAACCAGGAACCAGAACCGTAACCGAAAATAACCGGTACTGGAATTGGTTAATCTTTAAAATTTTGGAACCGTTACTGAAACCGGAACCTTTATTTCCAAAAATGAAAAACCGTAACTTTAATTATAAAAGGGTTAATTTAGGTCAGTTATTTAGATTATTAGAACTATGGTAATAATTAGAGCGCGGATTTGTATGCACTTAAAAGTATCGAAATATGCAAAAAATATGCAGTCAAAATCATGAAAATATGTAAAAAATATGCAGTCAAAATTATGAAAATATGTAAAAAAATTTTATTTATTTAAAATTTATAATTCAGCTTATAAAAATTAATTACTTAAATACAAAAAAATTTAGGGAATTTTCTGAACTTAATTTATTTTTAAAATTTTATTTATTATTAAAATAAATAATCATATGCATTTCAAGTTTATCTTTTGTGAAGCTGTGTCGTTTATCGGTTAACAAATTTTTTTAAAGACTGAAAACGACCCCTCTTTGTCAACCGAAGTTATTGGGGCATATTTGAAGCAAGTGGTATGTCGATAATCGACTGACACAGCAAGAGCAATTAAGTTTACGTCGTTATAGATTATTTATTTTATAACTAAATATATATATAAATTATTATTTAGTGACTATGAAATTTATTTTTAATTTTTCTACTAGACAAAATATTATTTTATACATTTTTTTTTAAATTTTCACTTCAATATGCAATAAATTTTGAATTTTGCCAAAATATGCAAAAATATGCAATAACCTCAAAATATGCAGAAATATGCAAAAAAAAATTTCACCATTAGCTTCAAATTATAATGATTCGTGGAGATAACTGACAAAAATCCAAAAATATCAAAAGGAAAAAAATATGTGATTGCATAGAAATCCGCGCTCTACTAACAACTATTTTGTTTGTCCATTTGTCGGTTCAGAAAAATAAAAGTCAAATAATTTTATGTTTATATTATTTTGTGTTGTAAACTGTAATGTAGTGTAATTCATATAATAAGTAAATTTGTAATATTATTATTATGAATGTATGTTTATTAATATATTACAATTTACAATGAGTATATCATCGATGTTGTCAATTAAGTGTAAAATATAATTAATGTTTATAAAAAAAATTGTAGCTACAGCAGTAGCCAGTATTAACTTTGATTCCTAACTAAAATTAAATTTTAAATTAAAAATATTTATTTCATCAAATCATAATATTTCACAATATTACAAAATATTTTATAAATTCTTACTATGAGTTGGAATAAAATAACTTAACCTAACTCAAAGAAATATAATAGGCTAATATAATATATATATTTAATATATTTATAATTATTTTTTTTTAACTATTCATAATACCTTATATTTTCATGAAATGCAACAATTAAAATTTAAACAAGAATAAATAAATAATTTCATATTATTTTTTAATAAATTTCTTATAATCAGAATTAACCGAAATTAACCGGTTCTAGAACCCTTACTTTTTTAAAAACCCGAAACCTAAACCATAACCCTTAAAAATTAATTTAATAATCAAAACCGGAACCGAAAAAACCTATAGGTTCCAGTTCCTGTGTACAACACAGCAAATTTGTGTTCAGTGATTCAAATGTGGTGATGTTAACGTTAGTATTAGAGTAAACTGACCTATTAATAAACGTCAAGGAAAGTGCATTATCTGTGTTTTGTTGGTTGATTTTTTTTGATATTTTAATTTTTTAGCGAGTTTTTTTGATTGTTATTTTTATATACTCATAACACACATAAAAAGTAAAATATCGGAAAAAACTGACCATCTAAACCAAGGGTCCAACCTTTTCATGCAGCGGGCCACATATTATTTTTTTTAAATCTTGCATTCGTAGTAAAAACATGTATTATATATAAAAATTCAGTTTTATTCTTACAATTTTTAAAATTAGGTAGATATATTTAAAATTACAAATTGGTAAATTTAATAATTTAAAAAATAGCTATTGGACCATTTTTCTTGAAAAACGCGTCTTTCAACCGAGATTTTACGTTTTTTACTCACCGACATATTGTACAAATAATACGAAGAAAAAGTATGAAATTGAAACTTTTACACATAAACAAGAATAATGTGCTTGTTCCACAATCGATTACGAACCAACAGATAATAATAATTATATATTGGTAGGTTATTCAATTTATCTTATCGCATATTTCTGATAGCGATAACTCAACTGTTATAACTTTATTGAACTAGAAAATGTAAATGCTAAATTTAAAATGTGATCGCGGGCCGCATATTATGACAGGGCGGGCCGCGGGTTGAAGACCCCTGATCTAAACACAGATAATGTTCTTCCCTTTGTTTTTTTTTGCTGATTAGATCATTTATTTTAAATGTTTTCAACAAAACCATGTTTGATTAATTTAGAAGTTTCAAATATGTTTTTAACACATCAACCTTGCTTGCAGTAGAATAGCAAAGTGTTTGTATTTTGCAAGGGAAAATTTGTGACAATAGAAAAAAGTAAATGAGATATCAACAAATTCTAAAATTAGTTAAACTAATGATTTAATATAAGTTCAAATCTTCTGTTCATGAAATTTAAATATTTATAAAAAAAATTATTTAATTTATTAATTATTTACAAATCATGAATTTAAATAAATATCAGTACATTAAGTAACATTGTTTTCTAATTCTAAGATAGATTCATTAAAAGTAATAGAATTTAAAGATGTAAATGAAGTGTTAACATTGAGTAGATCATCCAAATTACTATCATTATTTGTTGGCATATCAACGTTGAGATCCTAAAACATTTTATTTTGATTACACTTTTTTTATACACGCTAAATGAAATATTTTTAGCATACCTTAACTTGATTAATTAAAAATATATCTTCTGTTCTACTTGATGCATCTAAATCATTATCATTAATTAACGTAGCACTAATATAATCAATTTCTGAATTGCCTTTTTGGAATTTTGTTGTGAGTTCCCATACAGTGGAATTATTATCTTTCATGTGTGTCTGTAAAAAGAGTAATAACATTTAACAAACATGATTATTAAAAAACAAACATCATCATTATTATTATTGATACTAAGGTAGTATTTAAGATATATAGAAACAAATCAAAATATAATAAAAAGATACATTATTTTTTTATGTTTGTTAAAATTTGTAACTGTAGCAAAATCTTTATGACATATATTACAATAATATGGTTTTTCACCTTCAAAAAAAATTTGATAAAATAATTTAAATAAATAAATAAATAAAATAAATACAGAAGCAATTTTCAAAATTTGTATATACCTGTGTGCGTTCGACAATGTCTGACAAGTGCTGTACGATCAATAAATTTCTTTGGACAAAATTCACAGCTGTACTGCCGGTCATTGTAATGACGCCTTAAATGGCTCTTCAGTGTATTATTATGAGGAAAAGATTTATTACACACTGAACATTTATAAGGTTTAACACCACTATGACATCGTATATGAGTTTTATGCTAAAATAATTATTTTAAAATAGATGGTTGATATAAAAATAATAATTAATTAAATGTACCATTTAAATACCTGAGATGATGTTCTAAATGATACTGAACAATATTCACACCTGAAAGGTTTTTCTCCGGTATGTATTCGTATGTGTTCTTGCAGATTACCATTTTGATAATATTTTTTTTTACATATTATACATTCATATTTTTTATCACCTGAATACACAATACAGAAATACAATTTAAATGGTAATTCAAATACATTTAATAATTAATATTTTATATATAACATAAATTTTTGATAAAAAAAAAAAGGTTCAATACTTATAATTAAAAATTAAATAAATTAATAAAAAACTGGTACCCTTATGTGTTTGTAAATGAGTATTTAGTCCACTTTTATGAGCAAAAGTTTTTTTACAATGTTCACAGGAAAATCTTTCAGCAACATTCAACTCAATACTTAATTGTTCTTCTGTGAATAGAAAAACATTATTTACTAATGCAGTATTATAAATATAGTTGAATTAATAACAACTATTCATTACCATTATGCATTTTTAGATGAATCATTAAGTCATTTTTGTTAGCTAAAGTTAACCCACAAGTTTCACAAACAAATTCCGTATCAGTTTCTTTAATGTTAAGATTATTCTTATGAGTTATTGTTCTTTCTTCAACCAAGGGTACATCTTCATCTGAAGGAAACTGTTTCGACTTGTACATTTTGTGAATATTTTTGAGAAACAATTGACCATCTAATAGTTCATCAATAAATTTTACTAATATGTCTAATTGACACTTACAGTTTGAACATATTATTTTTGGATACTCGTCATCTTCAGAAACCTGTTACATACACATATAAAATAAACAATTATATAAGTAATAAATAAATTAATTAATATAAATATGAATTAATTAAAACTTTTGTGAAATTATAAAATGCTTCCATTTAAAAAAAAAAAAAACATTTTTGATCTTCAGATGTATTATAGGTTCCCCCTTAAGAATGTATATTTAATATTTTGGTGTTATGAAAATATTTAAGAAAAGAGAAATATTTTAAAAAATAAATCAAGCAAATTAAATAACTATAAATTGTAATATTATAATAAAAACTTAACTAGACATGTAAAGATTTTCTAATTTATAAAACTTACTTGAATGGGCAAGTAGCGATTTATTATGTCTGCAATAGCCGATTCAGCTGCATCAACTTTTTCGTAAATTAAAAATCCTGAAGTATTACTTATTGCACACAGTCGGCAAATGTCCGATTGACTTAGAGAAAACATTGCTTCGGTAGTTTCCATTTGTCGTATCAACAATCTTACAAAAAACAATCCTATTAAACGAAATAACTACAATGTAAATCATTAGTTTAATTTTTTTTTTTTTTTTTTTTTATTTAGTTTTTATATACAGTTAAAATATAAATTAAATATATTATAATAGATACATATCATCAAACTGATAAAGTGTTATCAACTGTTAGGCACACCATGTAGTGCTGTTACGAGGTCCTTCGCTTAGCAGACAATAGTGTTTACAATAAAATTTAAATAAGACAAATATGAGGAATTTGCTCTTAAGATCCATTACTTTTTCTGATTTGCGGTCAGCTAAAATTTTCTTCGTTTTATTGAGGTATCAAAAAACATTATCGACTACCAATCATCTTTTCGCACTGATTCATTGGGTCTTATTTATTAATCATAGTAGTTATATTAATTTTTTAACATACATATACTCATAGACATGGGCGTGCCGGGTGGATTCGGGCACCTCTTGACATTTTGTAAATGCAATCCAACAATTCAAGTCTAAGTATAAGGGGTCTGTATTTTAACTAATGTTGCTCATATTAAATGTAATTTATTCTGAAATGTTTGGTAAAAAATAAATGGTGTTTCGTATTAGAAAAAATAAATCTAAATTTCCGTGCAAAAACTTATTAAGGTGATATAACAGCTACAATTGACCACAAAAGTATAAATCATAAATAATTAAAGGTATCTAAAAATAATATACCAGACACAATGAAAATGTATTTTACCAAAACTAATATACCAAAATATTAAATAAAAAATCTATTTAATTATTTGTAAATTATTATTTGTTGAATATACCTATGCGTTTTGTTCATATAGGTCTCAAAAGTATTGTGTGCCCCTGGAATACAGGTCTGTAAAGTAAACACCTAGGCCTATGCTCAGTACATTAAATTATAGAACTTGAAAAATAACAATTATTCATTATTATGAACAAGACCGTATTTGAGGGGGCGAAGGGGGTCCTATCTATATAAATATTAAATAACATGAGTTTTACGTACAAATGCATTACAGTAGTTACTAGTCAGTAAGTAATAATTACTCATAACTGTAAACGGAGGCCCATTTAGGGGAGGGGGGTGATATGAGTGTTAGAACACCCCCCATCAACCTTATTTTATAGTATTTCACAAAATTGTAAACTTACTTTGATTATTTGAATAAACGTTGTATACAACTTGTAAGTTTTACATATGCTGTCTTAATGTGATCATTTTCATTTATATAAATACAAGGAACTTATTTATGTAATACAGGGGAGAGGGCAGAGGCTCTACTTACCATAAGTCTATTAAATTTTAAAACACCCACGTTAAAAGAATCCTGGATATGCCACTGACTGTAATTATAGGAATACGCAATTAGTTTTATTTTACTCCGTAATATAATATATTATAATACAATACTATACTATAAAACCATTTATTTATGTTATTATAAATTATATAATATTGGAAAATCGCCGCAATGCAATGTGAATTTATGACAGTTTATTATTTCCCGGGAGTTTAAATAGTTTAATTACAAATCCACAAGTCATCACTACTACCAAAGTTTGTGCAAGCTATAAAATAGTCACCGGTACCGCTACTGCTGCAGTGTGTGCAGGCTAGCGATATCGTTACCACCAGCGATAATCGCTACCGCTACCGCTGCAGTGTGTGCGGACCTTTAGATAATATAATCACCCCACATTGAATAATAATCTGTGTTATCACTGTAACGAACACATTGAGTACTCCTATTGTAATAATGTTCTTTATTATGTTATTATCGTTATTACTTTAAATTGAATTTATTATGATTTCCTCGTTGCCACTGTTTGTCGTTTAAAATATTCAGATGGCTATGAAAACTGAAATGTTGAAACACTCAAAACTAACCAACCGTCCTAGGCCTTGTATAGTTTATTTAATTAAACCAATCAAAGCATAATACATTTCTGCTGGTGAGTAAAATAATACCATATTATAACTTATAAATTTTGACAACCTCCTAAATAGTCGAAATGGTTATTTGTTTACATCTAAATTGTTATTATTTTGCCGTACAGATAATATGAGTAAATAACTATAAAATATCTATCAGCTATATTACAATACAGTAGTTTTCAAATTGGTGCAGCAACCCTTGTTTATTAACCTTTCTTTAGGTGTGTCATTGTTTTTCATAAGTTTTTTGTGACAGATACATGTTCTACAGTGGCGTACACAGAATTTTTCAAGGGGTTTTCATATTAATATTTTTTTTTGCTTATCACTAGAAAACCTCTTCTCTATGTCATATTATTATAATCTATAATCATAAAATAAATATTGTATACATAGTTATAAAATAAAGCAGGGGAGTTAAGGGGTTTTAACCCCCCTCCGAAATTTTCTACGATGTCTAGGTTAAAATTTACAAATTTTACAAGTTTGAAATATGAAGAGCTAGTATTGAATACCTAGTATCATTGATTATAGAATAGTCTATTCTATTATCAGTGCTATTATTTAAGTCAAAATATATTAAGGATTTGCATAATTTTGTTAATTGTAAAATGTGTTTACATAACACCTAACCTATATTTTTACCTTGACCCCTCCCCGAAAAAAAATCCTGTGTGCGCCACTGAAATAAAGTCAGTATGACGATTTTGTTTTGTCAATGTTTAAAAACCTCATCAACTTCAACATTGACTGGACAATGAATATTTAAAACTACTAAGCCTTAAATGGCCAACAAAATTTCGAAGATCAGTTTTAATTTTTTTTAATGTAAAAGAACTTCTTTCTGGTTTACATGATGTATCATTTAATAATGCAAAAATATGAAGCAGTTTGAATATATTTGGAAGGAGGTCTTTATTGCACTTATCAAAAGCATATAGATTCTAGAAGACCATGTGTACGCCAAAGCTGTACTTTTACTTGAAAAGCGTCTTGATCAATATCATCTAAATAAAATTCACTAAAAAGTTTAATTACCTACTTGTTTATCATATGTTTCATTAGAAATTAGAAAACAAAAGCTAGATTTAATATTTTTATGGTTCAAAAATATTTCTCTTAACTGTTGAACTAAGTTGTCCACAAATGGAAGAAATATAATATTTTTTTTAAAAAAAATGGTTAGGGTCACCTGTTGAACAATTTGATCTATGTTTTTGTAGTTTAACCATTTATTTTAATGTTTGTTGTAAATTATGTTTTATCTAGAAAATTTCCTTTTTTTTTAATCATTATTTCATAATTTAAAAAGGTTCTTCAAATTATTTGTGATGTTAGAGGTTTTATATCTCCCTGACATTCCCCCTGCGTTTGCCATTGATGCTCCATGAACATTTTCTGAAGACTGAATATCACAGGTGCCATGTTTAAAATAAGTTTGAAAACCACTGATATAATATAATTATAATTAATATGCATATTATAAAACCTAATTTAGATGATGTAAGCTTTTTTTGTTTTAAATAATTTATGAAGAAATGTTTTTAGGTGATTTAATACTTATTAAGCATTGGTCTTATCTATTTATAATCTTTATAGATTTCTCTCTTTCATTATTTGCTAGCTACCTTTCTTATTTTAACTTAATAAGAAAAAAAACCAATGATATTTTATATTTTATAATATAAATTGTATTTGATATTAATATGAATAATAAATTAATTTTTAATTAAAATAACTATTTTTGTTGTTTTTAATTTAAATTATTTTATTTTATTTTTATAGTACGAATAATATACGTAATACGAAAATGATTCAAAGTTTTTCAGTATCATGTCCACAAAAATCAGACAAATCATATTTATTTCAAATCAAAGTTAGCTGGCTTTCATTAGTTACTTTAATGAGTGTATTGACTACTTTTGTGTTTTGTGTATTATGGACCATATTTTTCAATTTAGAAGATGCTACATCAACTCACTGTGGCTATCGAGTAAGTTTTATTATTTTTTAGAAATTTTAAAAATACCTTTATAACTATGTATTTTACAACTATAGGTCAAAAATTACTTGCCAACAATCTCGACCGCTGTGGGTAACTATCCAGTACAGCGATTTATTTGGACATCAGTAATAATTGCTCATACTCCAATAAGGCTTATTGTAATTGGGATTTATTATCAATACTACACTAATATTATTAAACCATCACTCTATTGGTGTGTAGTATTATTACGATTTTTAAGTACTGCTGAAATATGCTCTTTAATTGTATTATCAATATTTACTTCTTCAAATTACTATAGTAAGTAATGTATAGTAAAATAATTTATATATTATTACTTTTCATTTCAGTAACTTTATTATTAATATTTCCATTATTTACATAAACTAAATTGAATTCATTTGACTTAAATATTCTATTATTTATCATTATTTTTAAGTAAATATTTTATAACTTACTTCTTAAATTTTTCTTATAGTTATTTAAAAAAAACAATTTGGGGAGTTACTAATTTGTACCAAAAACAGTTATTTAAATGGTTGGTAATTTGTTATTAAAATATATATTTTGACATAAAATAATTTATATAGATTGACAATATTAGTGTATTATAAAATCAAAAAATGTATATTTTTCATAGGTGCAACTAGGGGTGGGGCTTTGGAGCTCTTAGATTAAAAATAATGAACCTCAGAATTTTCTATTTGATATTGAGATAAAATCTATTTAACTATGTCTATAATCTTAATACATGAAATAATTATTAAGTTGTTATTCAGTGTATTATGGATTTCTTTTCACTTAGGAGTATCCAAAATCAAAATTAGTTCTCGAAATTGTACTTTTTCATCATCTTGCTAAAATTTGAATTGAAACTATTGCAGTAAGTAATGATAAATGTTGTCTGCATCTAAATTAATAGATAGGAGTGAAAGACGTAGTTCCTGTGGTCTGTCTTGTTAACTTATAGCCTCTCCAAAATATAAGCTCTAGTTGAGCCTATGATTGTTTTACTTGACCACTCCAAGTTAATTCAAATTATTGAATTATGGATATTTTGTTGTTTTGTTTTTAGAATTCATCACTATTTAGATAATATTAAAACTATTTACAATTGTATTGTAGTTTATAATTTATATGCATTTTCATTTTGCATTAGTTTAATATTTCAAATTTATTTTTAGAGATAATTAATGATTGTAGTTTTTAAAATTATTTTGTAATCTTTATAACTTAAATCTTTTTACTTACATAAGCCATATTTTTTATTAGTTTTTAATTGAGAATTAAAATAAATAGTAAAAATATAATTTTAACATATAGTACTAATATATTTATGGTTTTGTGTGCCGTCAGTTCAACAGTTCTGAGGTTAGGAAGTGTGATAGGATGTTTCAAATAATAACTCAAATTAAGTTAATAATAAATAATAATACAATTTTTTAAGTTTAAAACATCTAATTTATTTAGAAAGTTAACTGGTGTGAAAGTGCTTGCTACAATTAGACTATAACACATGTGCCTATGGGTCTATTTTATACCCCCTTATATACCTCAATCTCGTGTGAACTTTTTGTACTCGTTTCAACATTTTCGTTTTGATCATTGTTTGTTTCTTATAACTATCAATAATAGATTTTGACTAATGATATGTAAATTTCCTATACAGAGTTTTTGACTTCTACTTTAGTTATTACTGCGCGCCCAACCCTGGATTACTTATTATATAATTTGTTGGCCTCGTGATTTCTGCATTTCGCATAACCATTTTTCACATGCCTTATATTCGATTGTGTGATTTGTATTTACATATTATTATTTGAAATAAGCCTATAATCCTTTAGCCATTGAATTCGTAATACTGGTGCCTATATTTAATAATTATATAAGAGTTATTCTAATATTATATATGTGGTATGTGGTTCCCCATATAATGATATTTGTAAGGACCTACATTTTTATATATTTGTAACAATGGATAGTAACAATTATATTATGAGTTTCACATTGTGAGGTTGATCTTATTAACTTATTTTGAATAAAATAAATTAGTAAAGAAAATTTAATAATTTAAAAAAAAAAATACTAATAAATTCAACATTGCAAAGGGATATAAATATTTAGTTTCTTGTATGATTTTTTACTGCCAAATCATTTAAATTCTCTTTTGTATTGATGAGAACTTGAGAAATAAACTCATAGTTTATATTTGTAAAAGTATTAAAATCAGAATTAAATTTTAATTTATTACAATTTATGATATAAAATTAAAAATTAAAATACCATGATATATATTTGGAGAGCTGCTGGAAAATTCCACGGGTTGTCAGTGCCTGCCTTAAATGATTATAAATATAATAAAGTATAAAAACTATTAAGTTTTTTTTTTTTTTGCATTTAAAATATACCTAAATTAACTAAATCTCTTTATCTTGTTCAATACTTAAATGTAATGTAATTTTAAATTAGGAAAGGTTATGAATTATATTATTACTTTGAAAATAAGTATCTATTAATGTGCATACTAATTTTTGTCAATCTCTTAGGTATTCATGAAAAAAGCTTTGGTTGTTTTATTTGTTCTTCTGAACTTAATATGCTTATTTCTTCTATTTTGTTGAAAGAAGGACGCATGACTAAAACAGTAATGACCAAATTAGAAGTACACTCATTAAAGTGCAAAATATATTGTACCATATTTAATATGATTAGTTTTACAATTGCTGGTTACTGCTTTTTGCGACATAATGCATACTGTGAATCTGGTGGTATGTAATTTTTTAATTCTGTTTATTATAGATTAAAGATTTAATTTAATTATTAATTTTTAAAAATTTTCAGTGTATTCAGTTTTTGCTCTATTTGAGTATTTTATTGTATTGAGTAATATGGCGTTCCATCTAACTGCAGTTTGGGATCTTGCCAGTATATCATTAGTTGTGGACGATAATTTAAATCTTAAATACCGATGACTGATATTTAAGTATTATCCATCATGATTCAAACATTGCTTACATTAATTTTTATTATATTGCTGAGTCATGTTGTTGGAATATTCAGTGACTGGGTGATTCCATTCAATCACTATGTAGTGTATTTAGTCATAGAAAATGATCATTAATGAAAAAAGTTGCAGTCATTTTTCTATGTATGCCTTGGTGCTACTATCTTTGAAAATAAGTGATATTAACAGTACATAGTGACTGAGAATAATTAATTGGTTAACAAATACTCCTATTGCATGTTTTAATAATAAAATTAAAGGTAATTAATTATTATATGTTATTTGTACATGTATCTATTAAAATGTGATATTAATACCAAACCAAATTAAGTATAATTAAGATTTAAATTGTTTTTTCGTTATAACTTATTAATTTACACACATGTAGTACCTGATATATATAAATTGATAGTTTGCTTGATATTTTTCTAATCACACATAGTAAAATTTTAAAAATGTAAGCAGCTCCAGCCTCCTTAAGTATCTAAATCTTATTAATTTTCAATTTTTCATTTAAGTTGTTTCAAGTTTATGACACCAAAAATACTTTAAAATTTAAATAATAATTTTAAATTTAACATAGATAAATTATTATTAAATATTTATTTATTTAAATCAATATATAATTGAATGTTGCTATTTAAAATGCATTTATATTTTTACATGATTCTGCTATCTAATGAATGTATTTTATTTTATTTTATTTACTAGTCGTAATAAATAGTATTAGTGAATAATATAATAATTATTATATTTTTATAATATTTATATATAATGTCTGCTTTTTTTTTTTTAAACAAATAAAAAATTTTATTTTATTAAATTATAAATAAAATGTATATTTGATGTTATATAAATAGTCAATATCATGTTTTTATATGTAACATATTTTTTATTTACATTTTTATAATTTTAAACAATGTCTTAAATTTTCATTGAATTTATGAAAATTGATAATCGATAATTTAATTTTTTAAGAATCGTAAAATCTGTTTTGTATAAACATAGAACAATAATTGTTAATAATTATTATTATTATTATTATTTCAAATAATACATGATAATTATTATGAGGTTTTATTTAAAAATTTACAAAATTGAACTAAATTTTTAAAATAATGTAATTAATTTGCAATAATTAAAAGTTCATGTTACTTTACTAACCAAATCAAAATTGCTGAAAAAATATAAAATACATTTTAAAATGTCCAGAATTTGTATATACATGTTTTATTCTTAATAATATTTAAATTTAATTAGTTCTTTTGAATATTTCATAACCATTAATCAATTTCTAATTATGTAAGTTTATGAGAAAAATATTAAGAGGGTCAAAACAAAATTTTTTTAGAGTAAATCAAAATTGATTTTTTGTGTGTATTTTATCAGCATGTAGATATGAATTGTTCCGTGGCTGTATTATTATTTATGAGTTGTATAGAAAACACCGACTAGCTTAATTGTACAAATTGTTATCGAATAATAATCTAACTTTACAGTGATTTCGGGATATTATTTTATTATTATTACTAGCTGAGTTACCCGTCATTGCCGGGTTTAAGTATATAAATGTATGTAACCTGGCAAGATTAAATTTTTTTTTAATCTATTGAAATTTAAATTAAATAAGATTGTTGAAGTAATCTTAATCTTCTTCTGTATATAAAACAGTAAGCTCACCGATTGTGCAATAAACACACAGCTCAAACCATTAAACGGATTGGACTGAAATTTAACATATAAATAGCTATTATGATGTAGGAGTGCGCTAAGAAAGGATTTTTGGAAATTCAACCCCTAAGGTGGTTAAAAAGGGTAAAAGAGATAAAAATTTAATTATTTTTTATCCATGGAATTTATAGCTTTGACCATATTCGCAGCATTATCACATACAACAGCATCAACTTTATTTCCAATGTTCCAAAATTTAAGAATGGATTTTAAATTGTTGACGATATTTATTGAAGTGTGGGACTCAAGAACTTCCACTGTTTCTAAAATGCATGTACGTAAACATCACTTTTCTAAATAATGACAAATTACACCTAAATAACTGTGATTTGCCAGTGACGTCCAAAAATCAATTGTTATACAAACATGTGAAATATTTTTTGAAAAACATTTTAAATTTTCTCTTTCGTTTATTGCAGTCTGTTCAACAAGTCTAGTTATTTTTTGTTTATTAGGAACAATGTACTCAGGTACGGCTATTTCCATAAATTCAAGAAAACCTTCCCCTTCTATAATACTCAAAGGTCTTAAATCTTTAATAACAAATTTCATCAGGCTTTTTGTTATTTCCTTAGCTCGTTTAGTTTTGTTTGATAATTTGGATGGAGTTTGCTTAAAATATGGAATCAAACTGTTTGGCGTACTTGGTTTTGTACTTGAACATTGCTGAAAATGTGATTTGAGATAAGTCGTATTTCCACTATATCCAACAGCACATTTGTACTTCTTACAAAAAACTTGATTTTTATTTGATATAATCCCCTTTTCATTAACTTTAAATCCAGAATGTTGCCATATATCACTTCTAGTACCAGACAACGGTACTAATTTAAAGTTTTCACTCATTTTATTTAATATAAATATAAAATAAAGAACGAAATAAAATAATTAAGATGTCTCACCGCGAGTTAACAACCGGCACTGAATTGATGTGGTAAGCCATTTGAAATAGCTAATTTATTTTGGAATAGCCTTTTTCTTTGAAACATATCACCTCATATTATAATTTAGTATCTACTTTATACTTTTATAGATATAATTTTATTATATACTGTTTACTCAATTTAATTAAAAAATACCGAAAATAATTGAATCGTTCGTAAAATCCCGAGTCCCGATTAATCACACCAATATCGTGATATTTTCGATAATTATTTTTAGATATCGTATCGAATTATCCATATCGTTGGACAACACTATATATTACTATTGCGTATTCAGTATAAACTATAGAGTATAAAGCATAGGCTATAGGGTGCATCCAAATTTTTAGAAAATAATAAAAGGTGCCGTGAGTCAAAAAAGATTGGGAATCTCTGACTTAAATCATTTTATTCAGTGATCATAGTAATTTTCAAGTATTGTTTATTTCCATTATTATAATAATGTGCCAGTAGAAACATGTCCAAGTTTGATTGAAACCTGTCGAATTTGGTCGGTCATATCTCCCCTCCGTCACACTATAAAGCGGCCCTCACATGATCAATATTACTATCAATATTTTTGATACTGACAGTATTATTGATCGTGTAATGTGAGTACTGATGTACTGTCAGTATGGAAAACCCATACTGATGACTGATGGAAAAATCGGATATCGAGTCGTCAGTATTTATTTACTGATGATTATATTGATAGTGTGAGGTCGATATTGACATGTCATCAATATTGGCATCTCTGCGATGGATGACGGAAGTGAAACCACTAGTCACGAATTCCGCGATCGAGTCATTTTGCGTGATTTTATTTCAGAGTACAAACAATTACCCGAATTGTGGGATGTTCGTTGTTAAGAGTACTCCAATAAAGATAAAAAAAATTCTGCCTATAAAAAACTTATAGTTTATTATAAACTTTTGAAAAACGACTCTACAATTGAAGATGTAAAAAAATTAATACATTTAGAAGCAACTTCAGAAAAAGAAGTGGTACTGGGATAAACGACGTCTATCAACCATCATCTTGGTTATTTGAAGAGCTATCATTCTTAACGGATTTGGAAAAACCAATTAAAAGCGTTTGTTACAGTATCAAAAATTGATCTAAACTACTGTGAAAGTAAAAAATACTGAGTATTGGCTATAATTTGTATTGACCATTTGAGGAGTACACTGTCAGTAATGTAAATACTGTCAATATTTCTACTGTCAGTATTACTGATCGTGTGAGGTCCACTTTACAGTGTTATTATTATAGTACCGTACAGTATCCCTAGGAGCGCTGTTATCGCATCGAACGATAGATAGAAGATCACGCTCAGATTTTGACTCGTTCATACCACATATAATTTGTTCACATATTTTTAAATTCAGTTATGTACAAGTATTTTTTAGACAAACACGTGTTTTCCGAGTTCAGTTTTTTTCGCTTCTTTAGAGTTAATGCACCCCGTGTGATTTATTTCAACGAATTAATCATGTTCGTCTGCACCGTATGTACCAAATTCTTTATAAATGGTTCTAATTTACATCGACATTCTAAATCCCACAGTAAAATCAAGTGTACATGCATCTTCTATCATCAAGTAAACGTTTACACGTAAACAACAAACGTGAAAAACATCGTAAGTATTATTTAATCAGCAATATATTATATTAATTTATGTAATCTGAATACTTTACTAGGCTTATCAAATCTAGTTTGTTGTTCATATATACATAATAAATACAATATATTAAATCTCAAACGAATTAATGATTTTATTTATAATGTTTTTCAGTCTTGATTCGATCAATGAAAATTGAAAAATGTCCAAACATTCCATGCGAAATCAAAGAAAATTAAATGTATCAATTTCTCATCAACAGAGAACACAGAAAACTTCTACAATAATGATAGTAGGTTTATTTAATGAATTAAAATTTATTTAAATTTTTCGAATTTAAATTTAATTAATGGTGAATTTATTATACTAAAACCCTAAAAAATTCAAAAATATAAAAAAAAAACGAACAAATTTTAATGAAAGCAAATTATAATAACAATATATGACAAAAACGTAGTAAAATAAAATTTTTTTGGTGTTTAGTCTAGGATTAATCTTTTAATAATTATTTTTACAAAAAATGTTATTGTTCTATTTGATTTATCATAAAAACAAATACATTTATCAAAAATATCAACATTTGCTTCTTAATATTTAGTAGGAAAAATAAATAAAATGTGTATAGATATAAATTATTAAAAACACCGTTAAAATGAGATAAAAAATAAATAAATGTTTAAAATGTAAAATAATGATTTTTTAAAATCAAACTCTTGGTACATAATTTAAACTTTGTGCTAAGACGAACTAAGCAAAAATACGTTCTCCTACCCAAATTCACAGTCTATTGATAATAACCTGTATTATACTATTATTTATTTTAACCATCTAAATTTGTTATATTATAGAACCATCCACATCGATTACACCAACCGGCAAGCGAACAAATCATATTGAAAATGAATTTAATGCGATTAAAGCAAAAAAGGCTCTTATGGAACTAGTTAAAACAACATCGGAATTTGTTGAAATCAAATCATCACACGCTCGTAAAATAGTTTGGTATTACAAGAAGAATATCGACGATTGCTTTAACTATCATACATTCCTCGAATCTTCAAAGAATAAATTAATAAATTTACTTAAATTTCTATCAGTTAATCATCCAATCAAATATAATCTGAAAATGGAAGTTACTTACAAAAGACCACATTTAGATAACTCATCAGAGAACAGAGCATTCAAAACCATATCAAAAGAGATTTTCACGGATACACGTATAAGAAATGTGATTGAAAAATATTTTACAAGACTTATTCAAGAAGAAGACGAATATATTGGTAAAGGAAGTGGTTTCACACTCGAATGTATCGATGGACTGTTTCTATGTGTATACAAATATACACCAATGGGTGGATCGTCATATATAAAATTACCTGACGATATCAGAAACAAAAAAGCAGTGATTAATCCACAAAATACAGACCAACAATGTGTCGTGGACCGGTGGAGAGCACGACGCAGTCGTAATAAAAAAAAAAGACGACCAATGTGTGCTGGCAGTAGCTGGTGAGCCGTGTATTTCACAGCGCAAACGCACAAATAACAATAATAATAATAATAAACAAGTTCAGGCGTAATGTAATGAACTACGAATATAAATGATAATCACCAACGAGGTGATGTAAAAAAAGAAATTGTGTGGTCGGTTTTGTATGTACGATGACGATGTATGAAAAATGGCTGTCTACATAAAAGGGCGATGCGTCGTTCCGACGACACTTGCCTCCGGCGGAGCCTATGCTCCGCTTTCCCCGCTACTGTAAGAGGGCGCGGGGTGCGACGCATCGGTATCGCGATCCGCAAACTGTCAACTGATTAGGAGACTATAAATACGGTCGGCGGCATCCGTTGTAATAACGGCCGTCGCCGGGTCCGCATCAAATGTTTTAAATGGGCAATACTGACAAAACATATCGATGAATATCGTAATCAAACCATGTTTATAGATGAAGAACATCTTTACGGTTTTTCAGGTCTTAAATTTCCAACACCTATTACAGATATATACAAATATACGATTATCTGTTCATAAATATTTATGATTGGAAAAACTTGTCTCCACGTCCACCGAAGTTATTGGAAGTAGTGATGGGAAAAATGCGGATGTTTGAAGTTCGAAATTCGAAATCCCAAGTTTACTGTAAACCCGGATTTCGGATTCTAAAATCTAGATTTTGCTTTGAATCCGGATTTCGGATTTGAAAACATTGAATTAGTATTCTTTTAAGAATTATTTATAGTAAATATAAAATAATTAGACTAGGGCTGTGCGATTAATTTAATTAATTGAATATTTTAATCGATTATTTTTAACAATATTAAAATAATCGAATAATCGATTATTCATTGAAATATCCGAATATAATCAAATAATTGAATAATCGAATAACCGAATAATTTAATAATCAAGGAAAAAAGTTTATTATTAAATGAATTATAATGAAAAACATGGTTATTTTCGATTTATTTTATTCTTTGCTATATGTAGTATACCCGTTTTAATCTGTCGTTATTCAATGAAATATCTTCATTTAAAAGGTGTATTTAGATTTTGTTTTCGTTTATTTTTAGAAATGGTTATTCTTTTTCTGGAAAGCGTCGATGAAGGCGACCTGCCGCGATGATGAATTTTTAGTAAAGGTGGCTGTGTATTAACTGACCATAGATCGTTGGTAACTAATGAACATGCAAGCCAGCTAATTTTTCTATCCGCGAATAAATATTATATAGCACTAGCTGAATTACCCGTCGTTGCCGTGTTTAAGTATATAAATGTATGTAACCTGCCAAGATTAAATTTTGTTAAATCTATTGAAATTTAAATTAATTAAGATTTTTGAAATAATATTTTATACATATTAATTTAGTTTTTAAGATAATGATTATTATCATAACCTATTCGATAAGTTATAGCATTTGGCGGCAGAAGCTTTGTTCACGATAAATTTTAGCACTAAAGGTTCAAAATAAATGTTTTACTAATAGTTTTTCAATATGTTATCTACAAAACTTCTTTGTAGACAATGTTCTTCACTGATCTATTAGTAGGCGACAAAATTACCAAGCTACTGGGTGAGCTACGCGTGAGAAAGCTACGTAGAACTGCCCATGTGAAAAACAGTTTTCTCGCAAATCTATTCCTGCAAATTTAAGAGTTTGGCCTTGAGACTTGTTTATAGTCATTTATAGTAATCGTTTAAATTCGAACGGATGATCATTCGGAATTAAAGGGATTCGTGGTACAAACACAGTTTCCCCTTTTGCACATCCTGTTAAAATTGTGGCTTCTACTATATTGCGATGTAAAGCTTTGACTTTAAGCCTAGTCCTGTTGCACAGTTTAGGCGGTTTCAAATTTCGCAACAACATAATAGGTATGCCCACACGCAGAATAAGCCTATGATATGGCATGCCCGGTGGTTTCAATGAATTTAAAAATTCAACTGGATAATTAGTTGCATCGTCCATGTTGACCACCGTATCTATAGAAATATATACTTTTTCTTCCCCTTCAAAAGACATCATCAGTGTATCATTGATAACCGCCGCTTGGTCATTTTTTGGAGTGAGTATAGCACGTTCACACAACCATTCCATAGGCTTATCATGAATATGAGCAATATCTGGATAAATTTTTGATATTAAATCCTGAACCGTAGTTACAACTGTACACAAATTTTCTGGGATAGTTATCATTTCATCAAACGATGGATAATCACCATTGCCAATTTCAAGTAAAAGATCTGAAAATCCACCAGCAAACTTTTCCTTTCCCAAGTGTACCCTCATATTTTTTGACAGTTTGAGTATATTAATCTTAGGCCATAAAGTAGATCTTTTAAGACATGACTTGACTTCATCAGTTCTGGTCCCTTTTGGTACTACTGGTAGAGTCTGCCTAAAGTCTCCAGCCAGTAAAACCGTTACACCATCCATTAACCTTTTATTTTCCCTTATATCCTTTAGAGATATATTTAAAGCCTCAACACCACCCTTATGCGCCATTGTAATTTCGTCCCACACTATTAATTTTATATCTTTTAAAACTTCCGCAAAATTACTTTGTTTTGATATATTACAAAAGGGAGTGGCCGAAGCTGTTAGATTGAGTGGTAATTTGAAGGTAGCATGGGCCGTTCGACCACCCTCGAGCAGTGTTGCTGCGATTCCAGAAGATGCTACAGCTAAGGCAATGTCGCGAGTACTTCTAAATTCGCTAAAATCAAATTGATTAAGAAAGTTTTTCCAGTTCCACCTGGAGCATCTAAAAAGTATATTCGACCCTCATTATTATTAACACTTGTAATAATTTGATTGTAAGCAAACTTTTGTTCGTCATTCAGAAATTCTTCATTGTTTCTTACGACGTCTTCTAAGGCTACTAAGTCATAACTTGTTTCCTTGAGATACTCTCTATTATCAAATTGTTCAGATTTGCTTGGCTGAGGTAAGCCATATTCTTTAAGTGGCTGACCACCTAATGCTAACACGGAATCTTCTATTACCGATAAGCATTTGTTCAACGCTACGTCCGCTAAGTGTTCTACATCCACGGAATCCTGTCGTTCTAATCGTATTTTAAAATCTTCAGATAGGTATTCTTTGAATTTGTCCCAAAGATATAAAGGATCTGTTACTTGGCAGAACACTAATATAATCGTAAATAAATCCCGTATCATATGCGGAGATTGGCAAAGTGCTGCCTCTTCTAGTGCTGCGTACAAATATTCATCATCTTCAAGTAACCCTAGAGCCTTACACGTGAATTTAAAAGTGGGATATACTTGACCATTTACAGTTTTCAACGCTTCAAACGAAATTGGGCCCCGGATTTCATGGAGAAGCATACGAAGGTGATAACATTCTGTATTGTTTGGATGAACCGTATAAACTCTATCCAGAGCGTGCTCTCTTTTGATATCTGGCCAGCCAACAACGTTTACTCCTCTCTTCCTTCTTTGGAACTTTTTTTTGTCCCAAACGTAGTATGCAGGTACTTCTGGGTAAAGCAGATTTTTTGCAAAGTCGTTCACTTTACACAAATCAAAAAATGAGAGAAGTGTAGTTGTAGGAGGACTATTCACTCTGTCATGTAGGTTTTGTTTATTAAAGTAAACCCTTTGTCCATTTTCTAAATGGACAGCAAGGTAAACAACGGTAGGGAAACGCTCATGAATTGGAAATTCAAGGATTCGCCACACGGCTTCTGATGAACTTATATATCGTCCACTTTCGTAAGTTTTTATTTCGTCTTTCTCATTTTCTAAGGCAAATGAAGCCTGATTCGAGCCCTTATTTACGTATTTGCACACATATTTTATGGACTTCACCGAACTGCAATATTCCACATTGACGTGAGCGTTAAATGTTCTTAACAGTACTGGATTATAAGGAACTATCCAATGATTATCTATATCTACGCCTTTGATATTGACGGAAAATCCACCGTCATCGGTTGAACGTCTCTTGTACTTCGGATAACCGTCATCACCAGTTTGAGTTTCCTTAATGAGATTCTCGGGGTAATGTTTACTGCACGCGTTATCTTTCATACATGGTGAATTTCGATTAAAACAGCCACAAGGGCCATGAATCATATTACATTTAACAATTTCGTGAAGCTGAGGGTCACGTATGGGATCGGGTATTTCAGCACAAATAACATTGTCGATTTGATCCGGAGTAATGTGATGCTGAAGCCATAAAAGAATATGAATATGTGGTAGACCTCTCTTTTGCCATTCTGTTGAATACATATAGTATCTCACTTCTCCGAATATTTTATCTTTTGTCAATAAGTTCATGGTCTTTTTGACTTTTAACCGAAACACCTGCAATTATATCATATCGATCATATGATCTTTGACCGGGAAGTAAGAGCTCTTTTATCTCGTCCCAGCGAGGATTACATGTAAAAGTAATAAAAATGTCAAGACGACCGTAATGTCTAACTTAGGTCATAGCATCTTGTGTTCTTTCGTGCATGTACCTTAGCCCACCAGTAAAAGTTGACGGGAGTATAACCATTTGGCCTAACTGATTAGCTTCTATGTCTCGTCGTCCAATCGCATCTTTTAAATGAATATAACTATCTGCACGCAATTTGGCTTGGTTGTTTTTGATGTAATTTAGTCTTTCAGTTTCAATTTTGGCGTATTCATCCACCAAATATTGACTGAAAAGAGAACGATAATTAACTAAATAGTTGTCTTCCCCTTCTCTGACCATTATTCTATATGAGTAAAAACTTGATACAGAGACATTTTTTTTAAGCGGTAACTTGGTTTTTGGATCGCGTTGTGGTATATTGATTGCATACCCATCATTCCCCCCAACAAAACATTAAAGGATACTGCAGTGCGTCGTATGCTCGATGTATCTCACTGATACGGTGAAGTGAGTTACTTCGGTTTTCGAGGATGATGTCTCTTCGATCAAACTGCTGATCTACTAACACTAAAGCAACTTCATTTACCGTTGGTGCATTATACCTGCCTCTATGTTCTTCTGGTGGTTTTTTATCTGCATGTATTACAACTTTAAATGACTCTGAAGGAGATATTTTGTCGATGGCACTTTTCAGATCTTTTATATATGGGTTCACTTGATGTAGCATATCCTGCAGTTATTTGATTAAATTGGGTTTTAAGTTAGGATATTTAGAACACCGAATATTTACTTCTCGTTCGTCTTCACCGACAAAATAGATTTGAAGGTACTGTGCGCCCTGTTCGGGTTCAGGTAATATACTTCCAATTAAATGGTAGACCTGTCCTTTAACTTTAAAAGTCGGTAAGAAACCGTCTGCTGTTACCTGTTTACCACCAAATGACGTCATCTGAAAACAGGCGTTATATTTTCGAATATTGTTCATGAATTGTACATGATCTGGGTGCAGAGCGTTAACCAAACTATAGAGAGGTTCAGGTAGTTGTTTTAACCTCTCAAGTTGTACTTTTCCGGCGCTACAACACATACCAAGTGTCTCATCTTTCCACTTCAAAGCGTTGCACCACTGACACTTATAGGTCATAGAACCCAAAGCTACACAGGTGTCAGTTCTATATGCAATATCTGGATCATATGCCATACCTGAATGCACCTTGCTTTTCCATAGACGCATAGTAGTATTTTCCTTATACCTAGATTCAGTTTGATTCTGTCTATATTTTTTTTGTGCTTTTTTTATTTGTTTTTTTCTTGTGTAATTAGTAAATCTAGCCTTTCGTTTTCGACAGGACGAAATTGATTAATCTGTTTCACTTGATTGGGATAGTGAAATGTTTGTAGAAATGTTACAGTGTAGTAGGTGTAGTAAGATGCAATAGGTGAATATTCGCGTTCATCGACCAGTTTCTCTATACGACTCTGAGTATTGTTTTCTGTCGCAGTAAGAAGATAAGCATCAAAATGTCCATTGGGCAAATCTTGTCCAAATCGTAAAAGCTTTACTGTACAATAATTAGATCCGGACTCCGTGTATAAGATACCATTTCGATAAACTTTAAAATTAAATGGAAATATACATCCCGCTGCTATAAACTCACAAAGCCCACCATAAGTTTCATTTTTTATCATATCAGCATAATATTCATTGGCCGTTGAGTAATTATCACCATTTCTATTGTGGGACAATGAAAATTTGGTCCAGTCATTCACCACATGTCCAACAATTAGTGATCGCACCTCCATTGCATTATCTTGTGTTCCGTGTATTAAAAAAAAAAATAGTTCGGAATAAACAGGCACCGTCGCCAACAATGGGGACAACAGTATGTTGTTCAAGTTCTCCATTAACTAAAAGACTTTCTTTAGCCATTTCTTAGGTAATTAAATTAAACAACGTTAAATTAATCCTCCTAACAACAAAAACCGAACACGGAAAAATCTAAAAAACTAATCCGGCAGTAAGCTGTTTTATATTACACTTGTATACCGAAACCATTTACTGGTCCTTTATCGAACGCTGGGCTATCGCTACGACAACGACAAAGCGGCCAAGTACATATAATTTACAGCACGTGGGTATACATTTTATATAAGCAAACGTTTTCGTCACGCGCAGCTATAAATATAATATGTAGGATAATCACAATAAACGACAACGGTGCTACCGCGGCTCTATCCGCCGATAACGCGTTAACGCCGACTTAGGACTTTTAGGTTAGGTTAGTTAGGTTTAATAATACAAATTACATGTAAAAATTTTCTTTTACCGATTTCAACCCTTTAAATTCAAAATTTCGAAAAATCCTTTCTTAGCACACGTCTACATTATAATAGCTATCTGTATGCCAAATTTCAGCCAGGTCCGTCCAATGGTTTGAGCTGTGCGTCGATAGCAGTCAATCAGCTTACTGTTTTATATATACAGAAGAAAAACCAGCGTTTTAAATATATATAATATTAATTTTAGATTTAAGTCGACTCAAAACTGAATTTTAAGGCAAACAGTTATTTTTTGTACACAAGATGATGTTATTTTATTTGTTATATTTTTTTTATTTTATAACACTTTTAAATCAGGATAATTATTTAATTATTACTATTATTAAATAACTCAATAGTAAGATTATTCGATTATAAATCGATTATTCTATCAATAAACAATTATTCGGTTATAATCGAATATTATTTAAATAATCGATTATTCCCGGGAAAAAATAATCGCACAGTCCTAAATTAGACTTTCTTAAAATTAAATGATATTTTAACCATGTTATTTATAAATTTTAGTTCTCAAACACTAATTTTATTGTAACTAGAACTTTATTTAAAGCAACTAACAAAATAAAAAAAATACATCAAAACTGTAACAATGTATATGTTCAAGGTTTTCAACTACATTTATAAGTTACAGTATAAGTATTAAATTTAATTAATATCACAATTTATAAGTATCGGAATAATTATTTATAAAGAAACAATAAATAATAGTTTTGTATAGTTTATATAAATAGTAATAGGCACATAAGTATTTTATTATTTTACAATTAAGATATACTAAATAACAATTATTACCTACCAAGTTAGTATTTATAATAAATGTTTACATTATTGTGATTTGTGTCTTGATGTTCAGAACATAATACTGTTGTGGTTAGTTGCAGTGGTTTCAATAACTCGACAATAACTTCACATCGATTCCAATCTTTAATCATTTCTAAATGTTTAGCTGCTCTCACGTTGAAGTATTTTCTATCTGATATAACAGCTACAACAGCTGTAATAAATATATAATACTCTGCTCTATAATAATTTATTTTATTTTTTAAGAATGAACATTAACTAAATTGCTTTAAAATTTTATCAATTTCTCCATAAAAATAACTTAAACATAAAAATTGTCAAAAGAGTGAATGTCTTAGAAATGCAAAAAAATGTAAAATACAAGTAAAAATAAAAGTTACATTCTTAAATTTCTTGATGTATGAAGTGGAATAATTATTTATTGAATATTTAAACGAACACCAGCACACTCGAAATCAAAACACAGATCAAAACTTTGAATTGACACTAATTTTTACTGACCGTTTGAGGACTATACTGTCAGTAATACTGATCGCGTGAGGGCCGCTTAATCCGTATTGTGTTACAAAAGTCTCTGATGTCGGGAATAGGTGACCACTTAAGTATGAATACAAGAAAATAAAAGGCAATATAATATGGAACGATAACGGACCAAAGGGCACCGTCCTATTATTCATAAAAAACAATAAATCATACAATATTGGGGAATGGGCGCCCAAAGGTTGTGGAAAATTATAATAATAATAATGGTAATACAAAATATATAAGTATAACAATAAAACGAGGTGCCGTAAGGGCAATAATAGAATAATTAATGATAATTAATACCAAAGTGAAATATTGGCAATAATACGATAAAAGGCACGACCTGATCGGTTGACCTTAGAAAATACAAAGTAATTTTATCGATTTTTATTTTAGTTATTCCACACGTTGAACGATATTAAAATAAGGATATTATAATGGTTGTAAAATATATTGCAGTTTAGTGTTGATAGGATAATTGTCTAGCAATGGTGGAATATCGTGGCAGACACACACACTACTGATTCGAATTCGGCTAGTTATGCCCATAGATCGTAGTCATTACACATTTGAGAATTTTCAAATCGATTTTAAATTATTCTTATATTGTTTGGTTTCAGTATAGTAATATTTAATATTAAAAAAATAGTGTACTTGTATAAATTCAAAATGTTTTACCCATCGTTTCGATCGGTGGTCCTGTTAATCGTTGCGGTCACGCTTGTTCAAATCAACGGCCAAACTAATAATACCCAAATGCAACCTCAGTTGTGGGCCTCCGATTTGTTTTATCGCGCGTTGGCTAATTTCACCGTGCGAAATGTCGGGAGCACCGCTTGCCGAAATCAATCCGAGATGTACGATCGCAATTTAAAAAATCACACCAACTGGGCTGTAAGAAGTAAGTGTCAATATGAATACTAATGTTATGCATAGATGTTACATTTGCTATAGTAAATGTAAAATTATAGATGTTAATCATTATTTTTGTTTAAACTAATGTGGTACCTAATAATTATGTAGGTATTACCTATATATTCAATTTCTTTTTTTCAAAATAGAAAATAAAATATTGTAACTTTTTATGAAATATGTTTTTTTTTAAATTTACGCATTTAAAATAATTAAGATACGCGTTAAAATGTTACGAATATTTCCGTTTCTTGCTAACTAGAGGTTGAATAAATTCGAACACGAATTACAATAACTTAAATATCACCTTGTATTCCTTTTTTATCTTTTTTAAATAACTGTTTTATAGTTAAACTTCACCTAACGAATACTTCGCTATAATACCAAGTACCCTCGATAGCGACGTTTTTACTGCTTTTCAATAGGAAAAACTCCAAATAGCGGACACCTTTATATAACCTAATTGAAAAATAATGATAAAATGGCGACAGTAAAATATATTACCATTAAAAATTATAATTTATAACAGTTATAACGATGACGAACTCTTTTTTTTCGGGAAGGGTCCAAAACAAGTATATTGTAATTTTATTAAATTTAGATTTTAACTTTTGATATTTGGATAAAAATAAGATGGAAAAATATTTAATCTTCTTTTGTTAAAATTCATATATTTTCATATGATATTATGATATAAAATTAAAAGCAGTCAATGATTAATTGGAGCTTAAGTCATATTTGACTGAAAATATTAATGTTTTTATTAAAAATAAATAAGTATTTTAAACATTCGTAAAATATTGAAGAAATTTAGGAGGGGTCCATACACCTTTTTAAGAAGTATAAAAATTACTTCAAAATAAACTCAACAATTCACATCAGAACAATTATGAAGCTTATTTGTTGTATATACCTATATACGTTGAATAAAGATTCAAGTGATATACAATAATATACTTATATATTCACTGTATTTTTTCTGCGTTATTCTATACTATAATTACTTAATCACATTTGTATTTTATAGAGAATAGTTAAAAATAAATTAATAATTATGAAAAAATTACATAGTTGTAACTTGTTACATTGCTATAGCAATAAAAACTGTACTGAATGAAAAATTACTTTTATTTATCACAAATACAATACATTATATAACTTCTCCCGAGACTAAAATGTTAAAAAAAATATCTCTATAAGGACATTTGGCATAGTACTTGAAACAAATTTACGATAAAAAAATCGAAAATTAGTTAAAAAATGTAGATAGAATATTTTCTGATGATTTTTTTTGATTAATCTATACTTCAATTCCAGTTTTACTTCAAAATTAATCTAAATATCTCATTTTTAATATTAATTTATTTTCGTTGCGTACACGGGATTTTGAGAATGATACACTAATCAGGTTTTAATATGCTAATATTAGTGCCCTATACTCTTATACCCTGTTAAATTGTATACGTAAAAGTATAAGTACAGTAAAATAGCTAAAATATTTCCAGGTGTACCTATAACATTTTTGTTGCCTTTAATTTTTAGAATTCGATAATTGATGTTTTAAATTTTAAAAATTTAATCTTGTATCTGAACCTCAACTGAATTATAAATTGTCATACTTTTTCTATTTTATTTTTACAAGTTCCACATAATATTAACTAAAAGTTAACTATTATATGCTAATTACCTGAAGATATCATCTTTTAATTCCATTTATATTGTTCTTTTATTTATTACTCATCACCGAATTAAATTAGTCATTTTTGACCTATTAATAGAATGGTTATGGATTGTAATATAATTAAAGATTTCGATTTATTTTTTCATAATATTAATTATATTTAATTATGTTACATTATTATGATTAATAATTGTATTAATATTTAAGTTTTTGTTTTTATTAATAATTTTCTATTATTCACTGTACTATTTTCCTTTTGAATCTGATGTGTTGTTTACACTTTTTAGTGTTTCATTTCGTTTGTTAAAATATGTTTAATTGTGAAGATTAAATTATTGTTATATAATATATCAGGGGAGGCCAACAAAAAGAGACTCGCGAGCCATCAAATATATAAATAAATATGGAAGAGCCAAAATGCAAAAAAAAAAGGTCATATAATATAATTTTTATTTATAAATATGATATTGTAAATAAGATAAGATAAGATATCGTATTTAATAAAATATGAAGAATATGATAACAATAATTGTACAATATTGTGGAATTAAATTTTATCTTCATAAATACCATAATTATCAAAATATCATAGGGACATAGACACATAGGCGTAGATAGGAAATATTTTTATTTTTTTTTTAATTGCAATTGCAAAGGGAGTTTTGGTCTAGATTTATATTAGTACTATAAAACATTAAAATTAAATATGAATTATTTATTTTATACAATTGAATACCAATACAATATTTTGCCCATAAAAATTACAAATTTAAAAATATAAAAAAAATTATAAGATAAAACCTTGTTTTCTTAGTTGAAGTTTAAAAATATTGATTACTTCTTCCGGGTCAATATTAAAAACGATTTTAATGGATACAGCAGCTTTAGAAATTGAATTTTTGAAATTCTTGGAAGATTAAGGACTGAAGCAATTCAAATACAATTGTCATTCTTTATTGGAATTTTGGAAACATGTGCCTGTTATTAAATATCCAAAAATTACTCTTTGCGCTCAAAAGTTTATAATAACGTATATTAATAAATATATTAATAAATAATAATAAAATTCATAATACAATTGCTATAAAGAAATTTAATATTTAATAATAGAGAAATCTCAATTATAACAATACAAAAACATAGGAGAATAAAATACAGGGGTAATGCGAGTGAACGGGTATTTACAAATACACGTGTATTTTATTTACACGGACCTTAATCCGTTTCATATAAGAACACGTGTACCCGTGTAATTCATTATACGTGTAATGGCGAGCACTACTTCATACACATATAAAATAATCCCCTATTCCTAGAAAATAAATCGTAGTTACAACATTGCTTGAAATTAACATAATGATAGTTTGGTCTAAAAAACTGTTGCACAGTTGTATAAGTAATTGATATTTTAATACATAGGCAGATTACAAAAAATACAAATATTTCATTAGTGGAGGGGGGCTCAGTCTCTCCACCACACTCCACTAACGAAAAATATTTTTCCTTGACTACTTAACACCCGTATCAACCAATATTAACCCGAATAATCACGGTTATTAACACCCAAACGTTTGTTTAAATGTTGTATTGCGGTGTTTGAATACCCGAAACTCGAAACCCGAAAAAATTATTCGGGTGCAAAGCCTTGATTATAGGTATTATTTATTCGTTACGAATTTACTAATACGACGCCGCGCTCTATAGTACAATGCTATGAAAGAACTGCCAGAAAATCATATAAGAAAATAAACTATAAAGATACCGAAAACATATATAAACAAACCGAAAACTTATCTAACAGATAAGGTTATAAATGTATAAGTCAGCGGTTCCCAAACTTTTCAAGTTCACGCCACCCTAAAAATTAAAAAAAATAATTGCGCCTCCCATAAAAAATTAAATTACAAATTTATAGTATTTAATATACAAACACTTTTATTTTTATGAAAATATAAGTTAACAGTAAATATTATTAAACTTCAATTTAAAGTATTACAAAATACAATGCGTATTAATATTTAAACTTAATGCGAACAATGTGCTTATTTTCTGTTTAATAATTCTTCAAAATTAGGTAGCAATGTTGTGACAGCCACACGTATTTCTTTTTCAATATTAAGTTTTGATCGATATTTTGATTTCAATACAGCAACTGCAGAAAAGCCTACTTCGATAAATACGATGTCGCAAATGGTAGTAGTACACGCAAAGCTTTGATGGATATTTCAGAATATTCATCTTTAATGCTGCTCCAAAATTCTAAAAGTGAAAATGAAGAAAATTTCATTCGTAACGAAGAATCAGATGAAATATCGATTAATTGTTCTTCTTCAGTAGTTGTGAAATTTAGTAATGGGTTTTCACTAAACGGATCATTAATCCAATTGTATTGTACGATGTCTTCTGGAAAATATTTCTCGAAATGATTTTTAAGAGTCATCAGATGATCAGAAATTATGTTTAGTGAGCTCATTGGTAATTCAAGATCATTATCTTCAAGAAAACTTTTTAAAAATGAAAAACACATGGTTTTACCGTTTTCTTCGGTTAGTTTCCTTTGCCATAACTCGATTTTTTTAATAAAAGCGACCACTTTATCATATAATTGCAGAATATTAGTTTCTTTACCTTGTAAAGATGTGTTGAGTATATTAAGTTTTTCAAAAATATCACATAAATACGCTAATTTAATTACAAAATCACTATCAATAAACTTGTTAAAATCATTATGACCTTCTTCACTCAAATAAGTGTAAAGTTCTTGTCTAAGTTCGAACACTCGTATTAGTACGTTTCCTTTTGATAGCCATCTAGAATTACAATAAAACAGTAACGTAGTATACTTTGCTCAAACGATTTCTTCAAATATTTTTTTAAAGAACCTTGCTTTAACAGGCCTTGTTTTTATGTAGTTTACTATTTTTATAACTGTTTGAAGTACGGTATTTAACGATGGACACATATTTTGTGATGCTAAAGATTCTCGATGAATAATATAATGAGTCCATATCATTTCTGGAGCTTTTTTTCGTATTTAAGCCTGAAGTCCACCATAATGACCAGCCATAGCCGAGCCCCATCTGTACATACACCCAAACAGTTTTCCCAATTAATATTATTACAATTCATAAAGTCATTAGTGATATCAAATAAGGTTTGAGCCTTAGTGTCTCCGAAAATTGGTTTACAAAATAATAACTCTTCTATAATATTTGTTTTGTCCATAAAACGAATCTAACATATCAAGTGTGCGTCTTTATTACTATCGGTAGCTTCATCAAGTTGAATTGCAAAATTTTTGTTTTTTAATTTACTAATAAGCTGTTCATTTATATTTTCAGAAACATCATGAATTCGCCGACTTATTGTATTATTAGACAAGGGAATATTTTTAAGTTAGTTTGCAGCAGATTCCCCGATCATAGTAGAAACCATATCAATTGCTGATGGTAAAATGAGTTCTTCAGCAATTGTATGAGGTTTTTTACTCTGAGCAACACGAAATGCTACCTTATAAGAAGCTAAAAGTGCTTTGGTTGGAACACTTGTCTGTTTAATAAAACTGGTTGATTGTTTTTCTAATTGTTCACGTTGCCTTACAAAATAATCACGTTTTTTATTAATTAACGATCCATGATTAGTTTCAAAATGACGCTTTAATTTATTTGGAATCATACTATCGGCAGCTAATACTTTTAAACAAATAACACATTTCAGACGTTCTTCGTTGTCTATTTTAATGTAAGTAAAACCAAAGTCTAAATAACTATCATCGTATTTTCTGAACTTACGTTTATTTTCTTCTTTATTGTTGTCTTCATTTAAACGCTTGGTTGTACTCTTAATATTAAGAAATTTTTCCATTTTTCCAGAAAAGATATAAAACACGAGTTGATAATGCGCAATTCGAAAACGACGAATACACCTTACGTACGGTTCATTCACGACGACTACTGCTGCTATTGCCGTGCAAATATATTAATATTGGTCATTACTCATTACAATTCTACACTATTAGGTAGGGTAGACGCAATAATATTCGGTTATCGATAATGCGATAATGCTGTAACGACATTTACGGAAATCACCGAATCAAGTATATTATTGTACTTTAAGTAATACCATTGATTTTATAATACATAGATAAGCAATTCT